TTCTGTAAAATCTCAAAATTCCAGACCCAAAGATGTAATCAATACCTTTGTGATATTCCGCCAACATAAGCCAGATGTGGCAAACTGTTCGGGGCTGCGAGATTTGGAGCTTAAGCCCCTCGGATGCCACCAGCCTTTAATAAATGACTCCATGATTTGACTTTTTTGAGGCGTCCTCTGTAAGATGGGGGTTACATCACAACAATTACTCCTGGATTAAAGTCAGAAACTGAAGCCCAGAGAGGTTAAGACATTGCTCAACTGGTCGCACAGCTTGGAAGCAGAGCCAGGATGTGAACTCTGGGCCTTTATGCCCAAGTTCAGGCACTGGAGCCCCAGGAATCATTCCGCCCTGGGTTGTTCAATGGAATGATGTCAATCAGATGTGGGAACTGGAATTTTCCTGAACCCCCTGTTGGCACTTGTCTTGATGCCTGAGAACTGCATCTTGGGTAATTTTAAGGACTAGAAAATAGTACAGAATCAGCACCTGTGAATGGTACTGCTACTTCCACTAGGGGTCCTTTTGCTCTCTGGGCGCTGTTTTCTACCTCTTCCTGCTTCTCCCACTCTCAAATGAATGCGCTGCCTCTGCTTCTGTCTTGCAAAGTCGCCTTTTCCTTATTTCAAGTTGCTGAGGCAAAAGAAAAAAAAAGAAAAGAAAAAAAAAAGGTTTTTCCCCCCCTTCCATTTATAACCCGGTGTGCTGGCTCCATCTAGTGGTTACACGTGGGAAGTACACCAGCCTCCCTCTGACAAGCAGCGGGCCAGACAAGATTTGGGGAAATTGTGGCCTTGGTATAAGGACAAAAGCAGCACCCGCCCTAAGGTACCAGAGGCCAGAGCGTCACCCGGGGACCTCTCTGGGGACCACGTTAACGCCTTTATTTAATTATAAACGATTTCATCAGAGGAAATAACCCCCCAAAAGTAATAGATGTTACATTTTGCCACATTTCCCTCAGCTCTCAATATCTTTTTTTTTTTTTAAATATTTTATTGATTTTTTACAGAGAGAAAGAGAGAGGGATAGATAGAAACATCGATGAGAGAGAATCATCGATCAGCTCCCTCTTGCATACCCCCTACTGGGGATGTGCCCCCAACCAAGGTATATGCCCTGGGACCTTGCAGTCCACAGGCCGACGCTCTATCCACTGAGCCAAACCGGTTTAGACTCTCAGTATCTGTCGTTAATCCTCACCCAAGGATATGTTTCCATTGATTTTTAGAAAGAGTGGAGGGGAGGGAGACAGAGAAACACATCAATTGGTTGCCTCCTGCACACACCTGGACCAGGCCTCGGGATCGAGCCTGCAGCCGAGGTATATGCCCTTGACTGGAATCAAACCCAGGACCCTTTAGTCCTCAGGCCAGTGCTCTAACCACTGAGCAATGCCAGTCATGGCATGTTTTGTCTTCTCTTTAACTACACGTGAATGTACCCATCAACAATGTGTAAATAAATGGCGTATCACATCCTAGCTGGTCTGACTTAGTGGATAGAGCATTGGCTTGTGGACTGAAGGGTCCTGGGTTCGATTCCAGTCAAGGGCATACCTGGGTTGTGGGCTCCATAACCCAGTAGGGGGTGTGCAGGAGGCAGCCCATCAATAATTCTCTCTCATCATTGATGTTTCTCTCTCTTCTTCTCCCTTCCTCTCTAAAATCAATAAAAATATATTTTTTAAAAATTGCATGTAATATTATACTTAAAACAGTTTTTCTTGAAATAGTAATGTTTATTGCATGTAAATGGCTAATTACTTTGTATCTACTATCTGGTAATGGATTTATTTTGTATATTGTAAAAAAAATAAAAATAAAAATGGGAAATGGTGTATTATGCAAGCCCTTTTGCTACTTTTTCTTTTTTGTTCAACTGATTCCTGAGATTTATAGACATTGATGCATATGGTTCCTGCGCATCCAACGTATCTGCTATAATATCCCCTTGCAGGACTGAATTGTTTATCCATTACCCTAGTGACAGAAAAGAACCGGTCCCTCCAGGGCTGGGCTCTGCACCCTCCTTGCCATAAAAGGGATACAGGCGGGAAGATGGGTGGGAACAGGGGCGGCCGGAGCCCCAGCAGACGGTCCCCATACTTAGATGAGGAAGGGGGACACTCCTCTGTGCACATGCACACCGGCAGGACTTGGAGGAGAACAGCTCCGTGTACACAGCTGCCGTTGAAAACCATCCGGTTTTTTAGTTTTTCTGTTGTAGCTCTGTGTGTGACCTTTTGAAGGTCAGGGTGGTGAGTGGGGATTTGAACCCACGGTCCTAAGTCCTCGGACCAGCAGCTCACCAGCACCCCCTCGTGGTTCCCTCTCAGTCAGCGAGAGGGTCCCTCCGTCAGGCCCGAAGCTGCTGGGAAACAGGTGCGGGGCGGGGGCGCTGTCTCTGGTCCTGAAAACGGAGCGCAGAGCCCTCTCTGCGGCGGCATCACCCCCCAGCCAAGCGGTCTGAGCGCTTCCGGGGAAGTCTAAACGCCCCACGCGGACACTCACAGGCGAGCAAAGGGAATGGGACGGCACAAGGCGGAGAAGGAGCCAGCCTTCCAGCGCCCGTGACGCCGATGGCAGCCACCATGGGCTCGGACGGTTGATCTCTGTACCCAGAAGCAGCCTGGCCGGTGTGGTTCAGTGACTGAGCATTGACCCATGAGCCAGGAGGTCAGGGTTCGACTCCGGGTCAGGGCACATGTCGGGGTTTTGGGCTTGATCCCCAGGGAGGGGTGTGCAGGAGGCAGTCGATGAGATGACTCCCTCATCATTGATGTTTCTCTCTCTTTCCCTTTCCCATCCTCTCTGAAATCAGTAAGAATTTTTTTTTTTTAAAGAAACGGGGGGGGGGGGGGCAGGAAGCCAGGGCGGCAACATTCCTGCGGGGGGGCAGCTGACCAGGCTGGTCTGATCGGATTCTCCCCCCAAGGGGGGCAGAGGGGGACAGCTCCTACCCATGGGATCCTCCCTCCCAGCACGGTCACTCAACATTTTTTACATTTTCATGGGCCACTCTATGTTCTGCTGCTGCCGCTGCTTCTTTTCTGTCCCATCAGTTTTACTGGACACGGCTCGGGACCCGGCAGGCCCAGTACACAGCCCTCAGGCAGGGGGAACCCCCACAGGGTGACACTAAAGATCACGGTGTAGCTGGGAGACGGGAGCTGCCCACAGACGTGTAAAACGCCAAATCTTTATCATAAGCATCCAGTGAAAATGACAACTCAAACTCCTCCTTATACACAGAGCACCTAGGGCAGGGAGATGAGTGGGCGTGGCCAATGCCAGCATCCCCACTGGTCAGCGGACCTGAGACACTGCACACTTACAAGACCAATGATGAGCCCTGGCTGGTTTGGCTCAGCTGATAAGAGTGGACTGAAGGGTCCTGGGTTTGATTCAGGTCAAGGGCACATGCTTAGGGTTTCAGGCTCAATCCTCAGCAGGGGGTGGGCAGGAGGCAGCCGATCTATGATTCTCATCATGGATGTTTCTATTTCTCTCTCCCTCTCCCTTCCTTTCTGAAACCAACAAAAATATATATATATTTTAAAAAGACCAATGATGGGGGGACTGCCCCTTGCGTGTATCAGCTGTTCATTCTGGAACGAGGGGCAGTCTACACATCGTATCCGGGGGCTGGTGGGCTTGGAGGGGGCTACCGTATGGAGAGGATGGTGACGATGAGACTGTAGAGGCCCAGCACCTGTGAAGGTGAGGATCAGGGCCGTGCCCACGAACAGTCTGGGCTGCTGGGTAGTGCCCACGTGCTGGCATCCTCCACACTGTAAAACCTCCTCTGGCTCCCTATGACCCTCCGGAACAGCTAAGCCAGCTGCCAGCCCAACCAGCCAGGGCCCAGGGGAGGACACTCCTGTAGAGAAGAAGGCCTTCATTCGGGGAGTTGGCGGTAGGGACCACCACCACCAGGCTGCAGGTGACAATGATGCCTCTGCAGCAATGGGCTGCTCTGGCCCATGATGGACATGTCACGATGCCAGTGCCCCTCTTGGTGGTACCACAGGCAGCAGCCAGGTGCCCATGACCTCGAAAAAGGAGGCATCCTCAGAGCCGCTGAAACATGGAGGCGGTGTCTCCCCTGGTGTCCCACGCCACGGCACTGACCACGGTGTCCGCAAACTGCTGGCCCATCCGTCTCCCTCGGCAGCCTGAGAGCTCTGAGGGGCCGGGCGTGTCTGTCCTCGCCCCTGCATGTCCCCAAGCCCGGCAGCCACGTGACCTCTGACCTGGCCATGCCACTCGCCCTGTGAAACCTCCTCTGGCTCCCTACGACCCTCCGGAACAGCGGCCAAACTCCTCGCAGCATCTGCAAGGCTCCCGCCCCGGCTCTGCCTGGCTCTCAATCCTCTCCCACCGCGTGAAACCTTTCCATTTTCCCAACCGGCACCTCCCGCACGCTGCCCTCTGCGGAGGTCACGCTCCTCGCTGTGCACCCGGCGAGCTGCCTCCGGCTCAGACAGGAGCCCGGGCTCCGCGGCCGGCGCTCTCCCTCCGCTCGGGGTGGCCGCGGCCCCTCGCCCGCCCTCCCCGCGCCCCAAAGCCCCGAAGGCGGGGCCCGCGGTCCCCGCCGCCGCCGCCGCCCAGCGCCCGCCGCGGGCGGCCCCGCGCAGCCGCGGAACCGACCGGCGTCGGGTGTGGTGGGCGGGGCACGCACAGCGCCCGGGCCGTTTCCGGAAGGCGGGCGGGGGGCGGGCCTGAGCGGGGACACGCTCATTGCGGTCCCGGAGCAGGCGGGGGCCTGCGAAACCAAAGCCCGGGGCCCGCGAGGAGCCCGCGAGAAAACGAAGCCGAAGACCCGGGCGCGGGGCTCAAGCCGAGCTAAGGGTCCCTCGATACCTGGCCTGCCACTCACGGAGATGGCGGTCCAGAGCCGGAAATCCGGGGTGGGCGGGCCTATGGGTCGGAAGTGACGCAACCCGGAAGTCCGGCCGGTCTCCGGCCGCCGGGCGGGCAGTTCGGAGACAGTGGATGCGGGGAGCGGAGCGATGCGGCCGGCCGGGCGGCTCGTGAGCGGAGCGGCACTGTGGCTGCTGCTGGCGGCCCGGGCGGTGGCGGCGATCGAGCCCATCAGCATGGCCATCAGCATCGGGGCCGCGTCCATCATCACCGGCTACTTCTCCTACTGCCGCTTCGCCGAGTGCTGCCCCAAGCAGCGGCCGCTCAACGCGACGGGTAGGCGGGGCGGCGTGGAGGGGCGCGAGGCACCGGCCGCCCCGGGCGGGCGCCGGGCACCGGGCACCGAGGTCGGGGAGGGAGAGGCCCGGCGGGGCCTCCGCCGGGCCTGCAGCCCTGGAAGCCGTGCCTCCTGTCCACGTAAGGAACGCCCACACTTGTCAGGATCCCTACGAATGTATTTGAGACAAACTGACAGTTCCCGGGAAGCAAAATCTCAACGGCTTGAGAAAATGCTCCGGAAAATGGCAGTTTTGCCGCTTATTTTATCCTCCAGAATCAAAGGGTAAGATGCAGGTGGGCTCCGTGAAGGTCGTTGTTGATAGATCTGGGAGGCGGGAAAAGGGTTAAGGTAAGAACATCGGAACCTGTAAAGAATTTTTGTGAGTCTGAGGGACCTGCCATGCCGGCCTCCCTGACTTGTCCTTTGGTCGCTTTCCTGTCCACGTCCCTGTTTGGGTGCTCTGACTCCGAGGATTACAGCGAGAAGAAACTGAAAGTAGTGTGGTCAGCCCTAATGGGTCATCTGACCCTTGAGTGGTTTTCCGGTGTGTGGCCTCCACCCAGAGTGCCCACCTCTGGCCCTGGGCTTCTGACCAGCCAGCAGGGGCGGCTGGGGACAGCCTGCAGCTGTCGAGAGAGGGCTCGTCCTTGGGTGAACAGACACGCGTGGCTTCCGTGGCAGACACTGGAGTGTTGAGGACACTCGTCCATCGAGTGCATTTCCCTGCAAGTGGCACCGTGTGACGGCACCCCGTGTTCTGCCTCAGGGCCAGCCTGGGGTCTGGCCGAGGCCCTGCTGCGCCCCCAGCCCCGGTGCCTCCCTGGCCGGCCGGGACAGGCCGCCTTGCTGGTGCCGGGTTAACGTGCCTTTCTCCCTCTGTTCCCGGCTGGCCCCTGCAGCCCTGCAGCTGGCGTTGGAGGAGAAGCTGTTTGGGCAGCACCTGGCCGCGGAGGTGATTCTCAAGGCGCTGACCAGCTTCAGGAACAACGACCGCCCCAAGAAACCGCTGACCCTGTCCCTGCACGGCTGGGCCGGCACAGGCAAGAACTTTGTGAGCCAAATCGTGGCCGAACACCTTCATGCAAAAGGCCTGAAGAGCAACTTTGTCCACCTGTTTGTGTCGACTCTGCACTTCCCTCACGAGCAGCAGATAACCCTGTACCAGGCAAGGGAACCCTGCTGTCCCGTCCGCCCGCCATTCACCAGGCCGCCCGCCTCTCACTCCGGCCTCCGCTGCTTCTCTGCCCACTGCACAGCCCAGGCCCCTGACTTAAGGACACTCACCCCGTAACGCTCTCCTGCAGCTGCTTCCTCGCTTGGTTCCACAATAAGACAGTGGCCTGAGTGATATTTCCATTAAGATGGAGGCAAGAGGGGCGAGGCCACTTGCTCCTGACAATCTTTGTGACCTGGTGGCACATCAGAAACTGGAACCAGATCTCCTGGCTTCCAGGCAGCAGGGCAGCCGCTTTCTGCAGGGAGTGAGCGCGCTCCGCCTTGCCTCCGGCCCCGGTGAAGGGGGTGTCCGGTCTTGAAGGACACCCGGTTTGCTGGGCCCGGCTTGCTAAGGCTGCCGCCCCTGGCCCTGCTTTCCTTCCAGTGAGGGCCGCAGGCGGCTGAACCTTAAGACCACTCCTTTTGAGATGTTCTTTCCGCATTTGTCCATAGTGAGTCGGGTTCTCATTTAAGTGAATGTCATCCTCGTAAGAGTTAACATTCCTGCTGGTAGGTGAGACCGAAGTAAGAAATCGAAACTGGACCGAGCGAGAAAGTGAAAGTGGGCCTGTGCCACCGGGCGGAGCGGGGAAAGGCTGCCAACCAGGAAATCGTGCGCTCGCTCGCTCGCTTGCTGCTTCGTAGAGGGCCTGCTGCCAGGGTGTCTTTTGTTTCAAGAAAGCCTGGGAAGAGGTGCTTTTCCTGGAGAGGCGCCTGGTCCTGGGTTCGGGGCCAGGAACAGGCATGCCCTCGGCGCTGCGGGTCTTCCTCCGGCTCCAGCTCCTCGGCGTGTCTGCTGACGCTGAGATTGCGGTCCACAGAGAGGGGGAGGCTGCGCGTTGTTAACAGTGAAATGATGAGCATTCGTGTATCCCCCTCCTTTAATAGAGTGACATTCAGCGCGGCATCTGAGTTAGGAAAAACCCGCTTTGCATTTTAGCCCCCGCCTCTGCTGGTTTCCACTTCTCATAGGCGATGCTTTGGAAAAGCGGTTCCCCGGCGGATGGAAGTTAGGGTGCAGTTTCTACGGGTTCTCTGTGGAGCCCGAGAGTTCTGGTTTCCCCTCCGAGAGCACGGGGGGTAGAGGGTGGGGTGAGGGGCATTCTGCACCCCGGGCCCGCCCTCTGAGCCTCCGCGTCCTGTTTCTTCCCCGGGGCCCAGGACCAGTTACGGAAGTGGATCCGGGGCAACGTGAGCGCCTGCGCCAGCTCCGTGTTCATCTTCGATGAGATGGACAAGCTGCACCCCGGGGTCATCGACGCCATCAAGCCGTTCCTGGACTACTACGAGCAGCTGGAAGGCGTGTCCTACGGGAAGGCCGTCTTCATCTTCCTCAGGTTGGTGCCCCTCGCCCTCCCAGCGCCGGGATGAGCCCGGTGGCCATCAGGGACACAAGTGCCAGCCTGGCGAGAGTGACTTCCTGATTTCTCTCACTGTCCGGCTGCCGGTATCAGCGTGGCACCGAGGGGGCAGGAGAAACGAACTCAGTGATGGCTGATAACAGGCAGTTTCATCGCCGCACAGGTTTCTACGTAAAGTGGTGGTGTACGTAGCAGGTTCTAAACAAAGGTCTAAGCTCTTTGAGGGCAGACACTTTTTTCTCTGTCTGGTAGCACTTAGTTATGTTCTTTGGTTAAGTATAAACCTTAGAGCAGGCGTGTCTCCTGATTAGACCCGGAAGTCTTTTTTTTTTTTTTTTTTTTTTTTACATGGGATTTATTGGGGAGACACTGGGTAATAAAATGGTACAGTTCTATAACACATCGTCTATATGCTGTATTCTCCCTCCCTCCCCATTTATCCCCTGTCACCCCTTTACCTCGCCCAGCCCCGAGGTACAGAGTCTTACATGTGGTTTTCATCTCTGTTTCTTGGGCAAACCCAGCAACGCAGGGGGGGACCTCATCACGCAGACGGCCCTGGAGTTCTGGCGGGCGGGCCGGAAGAGGGAGGACATCCAGCTGAAGGACCTGGAGCCCGTGCTGTCGGTGGGAGTCTTCAACAACAAGCACAGTGAGTGTCCCCCTGGGCAGAGCCCGCTGCGCCGCTGGCAGAGGCCTCGGAACCCGCTTGCCCCGGGGCTTTGCGGACCAGGGCTTTCTCGGTGTTTCTTAGGGGTTCTCTGAAAGGTGACCTCACCGGTGATCTGATCGTAGATTCCTAACTGGGAAGGCCCTGATCGGCAGTCACACCCAGGCATGTAACTTTTTAAAGAATATATATTTTTATTGATTTCAGAGAGGAAAGGGAGAGGGAGAGAGAGATAGAAACATCAGTAATGAGAAATAGTCACTGATCGGCTGCCTCCTGCACACCGCACACTGGGGATCAAGCCCAAAACTCGGGCATGTGCCCTGACCAGGAATCGAACCCTGACTTCCTGGTTCATAGGTCGATGCTCAACCACTGAGCCATGTAACTTCTTTAGTGAAAGGCTTATCTTTGCTTTAACCAGTTAACTACCACTTGTCCAAAACACATGGACGATATTTAACGGCCACTGTTTTGGTCTGCCGCTTGCATCTGTAGGCGCTTGTGGCGTGCAGTGGGCTCAGCAGGCCCCGTCCCTGGTTTCTGAGCATCTGGGTGAACACACCTGATTTGGTAGAGTAAGCCTCTTTCCAGACCCCTCAAAGGCTGACATCCTCAGAGAGCCCATAATCCTGCTAACCTAATCCAACCACCCGGCTTTCTCCCACCTTCAGTCATCTTCCTTCCTTTCCCTCCGTAATTCTAAATGCGTTCAAGAAGCTGCAAAGCTCTCATTCCAGAGGCCTCCCCCCCCCTTTTTTTTTTTTGCTGAGATCATACTTCTAGGCATGTCCTCTGGCTCAAAACTAATTTTTATAAAAATTCTCTATAGGTTTGGATGTTTCCTTTTTTTTTTTTTTTTTTTTTTAAATATATCTTTATTGATTTCAGAGAGGGGGAGGGAGAGAAACATCAGTGAAGAGAGAATCACTGATTGGTTGCCTCCTGTGTGCCCCACACTGGGGATCGAGCCTGCAATCCAGGCCAGTGCCCTGACCGGGAATTGAACGTTGACCTCCTGGTTCATAGTTCGATGCTCACCTACTGGCCATTTCTTAGGCTGACATGTTGTAGAAGCCAGTTGGCAGGGGCAGCCAGCCGATCCTCACATCTGGCTTGTTTGCATGCGTGACAGAAAGACTTCTAAGGGGTAAAGACACGACGGTGTGCCATGGTGGGGACAGACGGACCTGGGAGAGCAGCGGGCTGGCCAGTGACTGGGCTGTTCTGCAGGTGGCCTGTGGCGCAGCGGGCTGATCGACAGGAACCTCATCGACTACTTCATCCCCTTCCTGCCGCTGGAGTACTCGCACGTGAAGATGTGCGTGCGCGCAGAGCTGAGGGCCCGCGGCGCGGCCGTGGACGAGGACGTCGTCACCAGGGTGGCGGAGGAAATGACCTTCTTCCCCAAAGACGAGAAAATCTACTCCGACCGCGGCTGCAAGACGGTGCAGTCCCGGCTGGACATCCTGTGACCTCCCTCCGAGCAGGGCGGCTGGGAGCTTAGGGCCAGGGCCTCGCCTCTCGGAACCACTTGGAAGACGTCGTCAGGATTTGCACATTTGTACTTGTGGACTTTCGGAATCTAGAAATTTTTTAAAAAAAATATATTTTATTGACTTTTTACAGAGAGGAAGGGAGAGGGATAGAGAACCAGAAACATCGATGAGAGAGGAACATCGACCAGCTGCCTCCTGCACACCCCCTTTTTTTTTAGAGTCAAGTTTTTTGTTTTTTTTATATGCCCTTGACTGGAATTGAACTTGGGACCCTTCAGTCCGCAGACCGACGCTCTACCACTGAGCCACACTGGTTTCGGCTAGAAGTTTTTAAGAGTTGATTTTTGATAAGCCGCTGATCTGCCAAGTGCCTTGTCATTTTGCAACATGGCAGCAATGCAGCTGTTGTTGCCGTTGAAGATGAACTTTTAAAATCCGATCCCCCCACTCCTTCTCTTGACTCTGCAGAAGTGCCTTGCAAACAGCTGTCTGTGACCTCAAACTGCTGTCGCTCCTGAAGTCCAGGGCCTGCTGCGCGCTGGGAGCACTGGCTGTCACCTGCCGGAGCCAGGCTTCCACTCCGGTCCTCTTCACAGAGGCCCTGACAGGCATTTTCCGTGGAGACCGGCGGTGCCTTCAGGCGCGGGCAGTGTCGGTGGGAGGACGTGTCGGGTCCTCGGTGCCGCAGCCAGAACAGGGGTCATCGGCATCTGGCCGCTGCTCTGCTGCCCGTGGAGCCCGCTCGCCTCTCCCTGTGGCCCTTCTGGACGCCAGTGACCCCTGCGCCCCCACCAGAGCGTTGGTTTCAGTTTCAGGTCCTAGTCCCATGGGGACGTGTTTGATAGTTTACACTGGGGTCAGTCTCTCTTTTTTTTTTTAAAGAGTCAGTTTTTTTTTTTTTTTAATATATATTTTATTGATTTTTCTTAGAGAGGAAGGGAGAGGGATAGAGAGCTAGAAACGTCAATGAGAGAGAAACATCGACCAGCTGCCTCTTGCACACCCCCCTACCGGGGATGTGCCCGCAACCAAGGTACATGCCCTTGACCGGAATCGAACCTGGGACCTTTCAGTCCGCAGGCTGATGCTCTATCCAATGAGCCAAACCGGTTTCTGCTGGGGTCAGTCTCTCGCGGTGTCCCCAGAACCATTTGGAATCCTAGAACACTGTCATCTGTGGGTGGCCCAGAAGGGTCACCTTGCAGACTTTGCATTGCCAAAGTGGAAGTATCGCACACTAGAAACACTAGTTTTTTCAAGGATGAGTATATAAATATAGAAATATATTTTAATATATTTTTGCTGATTTTAGAGAGGGAGAGGGAGAGATAGAAACATTAATGATGAGAGTCATCCATCAGCTGTTTCCTGCACGCCATCCCCCAGTGGAGATTGAGTCTGCAACCCGGGCACGTACCCCTGGCTGGAGTCAAACCTGGGACCCTTCAGTCCCCAGGTCAACGCTCTATTCACTGAGCCAAACCAGCCAGGGCAAAGATGAGTATATTTTTATGTTACTTCTGAATGTTAGAGAATACCAATGAAGGATGTTGCTCATTTTAAACATGAGAATGACACTAATGGAATAATTGTCTGCGATCAGAAACTCTGAAAATAAAGGATATGATTTACTGTCAAATGCATGGTACTGGATTGTCAATATTGCAGAACAAAGTAATTACAGGGCAGCCTGAAGTTCATCTGATGGTAACGCCCTCGGTGGCAGTGCCAGGCTGGTGCCCTGGTCCCTGGGAAGTCAGACGGTCCCAGCCCGTGGGAAGCGGTCAGCTCGTAGTTGCAATGGAACTACAGGTGTAATGAGGATGTGCAGCCTTTTTTTGCAGGTGTGGTAAATGAATATTTTTATGACATGGAAGGCCTTATGGAGGATCACACTGTCCTTTAAAAATTCCAGTGAGGTGGCGAATGCTCAAATTGGAGGGACCTTTTTCTGCCCAGAGCCACTTGGGTATCTGTAACTTCATTCGTGGGCCATACAAAATAACCACCTTAAAATCAGCCTGCTATGTTTGGTCAAACACTTAATTAGCTTATCCCCGATGCTTTGGCAGGGCCAGACCAGATGATTTCATGGGTCCTATGTGGCCCTCGGGCCGAACGTTCCCCACCCCTGGTTTACAGTGACGCAGTCAACTCTTCAAAACTGCCCGTTCTGAAAGTAATCGCATGGGTGTGAGGTGCGGCCTAGGGACTCGTCAATAACTGTGTCAGATGGGACCAGCTATGATTGACCACGGCCCAGCCTCTATTCCCCCCACAAAACGTACCCAGGAGCTTGAGATGACCCAGGGGATATACAATAATAAAGCCAGAAGTTGATCATGTGAGATGTCATTTGCAAATGTCCCCCCTAGTTAACGTACTTGGTAACTGAAATTTGAGCTGGAATGAAGGCTCAACAACACCGGCCACGCTGGCTGGCAGTCAGCATCGCACAGAACCAGTATTTACCCCACAGGCTGTTATCCACGATACCACGGTAAACTGGACGAGGTGCAGATAGTATCAGAGAGTTGGATTTCCAGTGTCTTCTAAGACAAGTGGAGGGACTTGAGACAAGGGAAAACGCAACATGGCTGACGTTTATTTTTAAAGACAGAAACATCGATGTGAGACAAACATCAATTGGTTGCCTCTGAGCTTCCAACCAAGGTACATGCTCTTGATTGGAATCGAACCTGGAACCCTTCAGTCCACAGGCCAATGCGCTATCCACTGAGCCAAACCGGCCACGGCTCAGCTGACATTCTGGACCTGAGCAAGGCCGTCGCCAGACCAGGAAACCTAACTGCCAGGACTTCCGCCCAGAACTGGAAGCGAAACCCTGGTTGTAACCCAGAGCGCAGCTTAATCACACGTACCTGCCTCTTAGCTGTCTGTGAATGGTACCGCCAGCCCTCTCCCCAGGCCCGAGAGCCGCAGACTTAACCCTCTTCCCACCGTCGCCCCACTCCCCTCCCCTCTCAGATGCTCAAGTCCCAGGAGACATTCCTGATCGGGCTCCCACCCAGACCGCCTCATCTACCAACAACTCCAAATGGCGTCAGGGGACCTCTGTGCTCTGTCGTTGGGGACCCCTAGGTGCTGCCATCTTCAAATGGATGATTAGCCCCAATCTGTGACTCCTGGCGACAGGCCAGACTCGGCTCAATGTCAAGAGCTTTCCAACATGTAGAGCCGTCCTCAGGGGGCCAGGGTGGCAAAGGGTCCTGCGTCAGCCCACAGCCAGGCTGCCAGCCGTCTGTGCCCGCTGAAGCCTGTTCCCAGGAGCGCTGCGCAGGCCTCACCCCCAGGAGCCCATGTTCGTAGGCGCATGTGTGGATTGTGTAATAGGTCTCAGCAGCACATGCTCCGGCCTGGTGTCTGGACTTGGCCTCCAGGGCCGGTGTCGGGAGCTCCAGGAGCCGCACGACAGTCTGCGATGCCCCAGGCAGCGGGGCGAGTGGCCGGGGTGTCCTAGGGTCCTTGGTCTGCGTTAGAGTTCCCGTGATTCCGGCCGGGACTGCTCCTGCTAGGTCTTCATTCACAGCTTACTGTAAGCACACAAGGCCTACAGGGGAGGGTTTTCTCCTTCAACACTGTCCAGAAGCCCTAACCGGTTTGGCTCAGTGGATAGAGCATCGGCCTGCAGATGAAGGGTTCCAGGTTTGATTTCGGTCAAGGGCATGTACCTTGGTTGCAGGCACATCCCCAGTAGGGGGTGTGCAGGAGGCAGCTGAGAGATGTTTCTCATTGATGTTTCTAGCTCTCTATTCCTCTCCCTTCCTCTCTGTAAAAAGTAAAATATATTTTAAAAAACACAAAAAACTGTCCAGAAATGAGTTTTATTGTGAAACAGGAGGCCTGGTGCATGAAAATCCATGCACTGGATGGGGGAGGATCCCTCAGCTCGGCCTGCCCCTCTCACTGTCCCGGAGCCCACAGAGGCAGGAGGAACCCGGCGGTCAGAGAAGGTCATGCCCCCATCACATCTCTGCTGGCAGCACAAGCCTTGGCTGGTTCCTGAGCCTTGGGCAGCCGGGCAGCTGCCATCCAAGGCTTGCCTGCACCTTAGGCGGGCCCTGAGCAGCTAGGGGGCTGAAGGGACTGGGCACTGCCATCTTGTGGGTGTGGGTGCCGCTATTTTTGGGGGGTGTGACAGTCAATTAGCATATTCTTACTGGCTGTAGGTGCCACCCTTTGTGAGGGCATGGTCAATTAACATATTCCCTCTTTATTAGATAGGATGATAGCTCCTGGCTTTAACAGAAATACTGTTCTCCAAGAGGTCACATGATTGATTGGGGCAAGAACACATGCCCAGGTTACAGGCTCCATCCCCAGTTGGGGGTATGCAGGAAGCAGCCTATCAATGTTTCTCTCTCTCTCTCTCCCTTCCTCTAAAAATAATTCAACACTTTTTAAAATTATATAAAAAATAAAAACACTGGGGGCAGCTAAGCTTTCCTGAGATCCTGGGAGTCCATCAGACAGGGAGAGGAGTGTTAGAGGAAGGCTTTAAAAGGTGGCAGAGCTGCCGGAGCGAACAGGAGGCAGAGACCTTCCTGGCAGGGCAGCTCACCGGCTGGCAAGTGACGAGCTGGGAGTACTTTCCTGTCTGGGAAACGTTCTGTTTTAAATATGTTTTTATTGAGTTTTAGAGAGAGGAAGGGAGAGGAGTAGAGAGAAACATCATTGAATGGCTGCCTCCTGTATGCCTGCCCCTGGGAACTGAGCCTGCAACCTGAGCATGTGCCCTGACAGGAGTCGAACCCGTGACCTCTCGGTGCCAGCAGAGCCACCCCCCGGGCTCCGGGGGATTCTCTGACAAGTGTTCCCAGTGCTGCTGGGAGGAGAGCCCGGGAGGACCCCAGGCTTCCTGCGACGTGTCTGGGCCCTGCCCGCCGTGTCCTTTCCCTGAGGCGGCACTGCCCTCGCCCGGTGCCTGGGCCCTGCCCGCCCTGTCCCCGCCGGCGCAGGACGTGGGCTTCTGGCAGTCGAGAGAGCACATCGCGAGGATGGGAACTTGAAAAACCACTCACAGCCAACACCGAGTCTGAAAAGCTTCTCAGAATGTTAAAACCATTTTAAATAAAATTACCCCATTTCAGTAAAACTTTTCGTCCTTCCTTGAAACAGAAACACTTGACATTAAAACATGATTTTTAAAAAATCATGAGCCCTGATCCGAGTGGACCGGGAGCGGCCTCCGGCAGGAAGGAGCCGCCCTCGGGCCCGCTGGGCGCGCACAGCGCGGGAAGCCGCGTCCAAGGAGGAGCGCACTGCCTCCGGCCCGGGTTCGAGCACAGTTCCCCGGCGTGCAGGACTCCCGGGCCGTCAGTCATCGTAGTAATAGTCCAACTTGGTGAACACCGTCTTGCAGCCTTTGTCGGAGAAAACCTTCTCGTCCTTGGGGAAAAAGGTCATCTCGTCGGCCACCCGGGTGACAATGTCCTCGTCCACATCATAGCCCCGGGCCTGCATTTCCACACGGACACACATCTTCAGGTGCTTATACTCCAGGGGGAGGAAGGGGACGAAGTAGTCGATGAGATTTCGGTCAATTAAGCTGCTGTGCCAGAAGCCACCTGGGGAGAGAGGGTGCGGTCATCCTCTGCCCCGCCCTCTGCCCCTGCCCACCCACACGTCTTCTGCTGCTGTGGAGCCAGGCCGCACCTGCCCACAGGGAGCACCTAGCCAGTGAGGCAGGAGGGATGAAAGCCCCAGAGGGAGGGGGAGGAACACTTTGGCCACACCGGGCTCCGGGAGACCTCTAGGTGTGACAAGATCGGAGGCGGTGGGAGGCCCACCACCCTGGGTGCCTGTGGCCCGGCGGAGGCAGAGGAAAGGGAGTGATTCGGATTCCAGGAAAGGCCAGGAGTCTTGGCGAGCGACAGACACCCATCTGTTCTGAAAACTCACTCCCTGGATGAGCAGCTGGGGAGAAACCTACTGCGGCTGCCGGCAGGTCCAGAGCATTTGGGGGACCAAACACCAGGCCCCTGAGTAAGAATTGGGAAGCCCCAGGCTGCAGGAGGCCCTGCACCCACCCAGCACCCCACCCCGGGCGGCCCGGGCCTCCTGCCCAGCACTCGCTCCATCCAGGAGGAAACATCGCCCGCTGGACCTCACCAGCCTCTCCAGCGTCTCCCTCCCACTCTGCTTCCCTCCGGGCCTTCACCCTCTCCCACGCGAAGTGATCCGCCCACACCAGCTGGTCCTACAATTCAAGTCCATTCTGTCGCTGTCTACCTGGTGAGGGCTCAGCACCCCCACTTCTGCCAACTGCAAGTTCAGGTGTCACCTGCGCTCTGACCGACCAGCTCAGCTGCTAGAGGTTCTCATGATCCCCTCCTTGGGGTCAACTGATTTGCTAGAGCAGCTCACACACCTGGAGAATTATCTTACTTAACTAGGGCAGTGGTCAGCAAACTCATTAGTCAACAGAGCCAAATATCAACAGCACCACGAATGAAATTCTTTGGAGAGCCAAATTTTTTTAAACTTAAACCTCTTCTAACGCCACTTCTTCAAAACAGACTCACCCAGGCCGTGATATTTTGTGGGAGAGCCACACTCAAGGGGCCAAAGAGCTGCAGGTGGCTCGTGAGCCGAAGTTTGCCGACCACTGTACTAGGTTACCAGTTTATTATGAAACGAAGAGCCAGGTGGAGACTCAGACACACAGTAACACTGATAACTGCACGGCGGCAGGCGGCACTGCAATGCCAGGGGAGCGCTCTGTAAACCACGATGTACACCCGGCACTAATGCAGAGCAGTGAGCCCAGCTGTAATGAGAAGACGCAGGGGGCGAGCCTGGGGACAGGACACACCTGCCAGGCCCTCTCCGAGTGCGCCCCGACCAGGAGCTCCCGGAACCCCGTCCTCTGGCGTTTTTAAGTCTGTGGGCTTCGTTACACAGGCACCTCCGACTCAACCTCCTCTCCCCGCCTCTCATCTCCCTCAGGTGCTTCCCAAAACCAGCTCATTAGCTAACAAGCTCAGGCTGGGGTTGGATTTGTTCTGAATGCACCACGTGGTCTTTTCACGCAGGAAATTCCAGGGTTTGAGCTCTGTGCCAGGATGGAGTGGAGTCTGAGGCGTGGGGAAAAGCGAAACTGACCCCGGGCAGCAACACCACAGCCCCTCCCGAAGGCCCGCCTGTGCCAGGCTTGCCGGGCCTGGGAATGAGGCCCAGGGCCAGGCAGACGAGGACGCTGCCCTCCGTCCCTCCCTCCCTCCCCGGCTCACCAGCCGAGCCCCAGGAGGCCGGACACAGGCAGTTCAGAGCGGGCGGCTGTGAACGAGGGCCACGCGGTCAGGCGAGGCCGGCGGAGGGGGTGCCCCAGGCAGAGCCTGAACAAGGGGCCCCACACCAAGACCGGGAAGAGCGTGCGGTCACCTCAGTCCCGTGGCTTCAGAAACCATCCACCTCCCAGTTTGTGTTCTGTCTGACGCCCCCGGAATTGCCCGGAACAACCAGCCGTCAGCTCCGCATCTCTGCTGAACGCCATAACGTGTCTCCACTCACTGAACACGTCCATCCCCACCTCCCGCCTTCCCCACCACCCTGCGGCTCCGCCGTCTGTGCCCATACATGGCAGTGCCTCCCTCGGAGTGCTAAGGCAGACCCTGGTTTGTCTCTCGTTTCTACACACAGTCCTTCAGGAAATCTCTTTGTTTCTACCTTCAAAATGCACCCTAATCCGACAATGTCCCACCCCCCTGCCACCCGCTGCCGCAGGCCCCTGCACTTCTCCCCTGGCTGCCCGGCTTCCGGGTGGTCCCCGGCCCCTGCCACCTGCAGGCTGCTCTCCTCCAGCAGCCAGCGCAGCCCGTTAAGACCAAGTCAGACCACGTCACTGTCTGCTGGGAACCCCGCAGGGGCTCCCTCTCCACGTGGAGCCAAACCCAAGGCCTCACCGTGGCCCCCAGGCCTCTGAGCTGCACCCCCGCCGTCTCCCCTCTAATCTAACTGTCTCCTCTGGGCCAGCTCCAGCGACCCAGGCGCACTCCCACCTCGGTGCCCACAGGGCCCGGCCCTCACTCCTGTCAGCTCAGTGCCACCCTCAGAGAGCCCTCTGACCCTTCTATCTAAAGCCACAGCCCACCCTCGTCCTGGCACCCCAAACCTTTTCTTAATTGCTTTCTGCCTCTTGGGGGGGGGGAGAGGGAGATACATACTACCTCTGTTAGATACACCGGTAGCCATCATCCCGCACGTTTCCTTCTCGTTGGTTATCACTAGGATATACATTCATGAGAAGAAGGACTTCTCCTGGTCTTAGCCCAGTGCCTGACTCCTGGTCGTTGCATAATAAATATTTGTCAGATGAATGAGAGAGTTCAGCCACCTGCCCAAGGCCATCAGCAAGCAGCTAGGCCAGGTCTGCCCGATTCCAAAGCTCAGCTCCTGCCCTGGCACCTGGCAGCGCCTGCTGCAGAATTTGGGCGAAGTTTCCACTGCACCTGGCCACCTTCTGGCACGCCAAGAAACCAGCGAACATGTTACAGGATCCTGTCTCTCACCAGTGACATTCCAGTTGCACAAACGGACATAAACTATCCCAGACTCTACAGAGCATGAGTTTCCTGGAGTCTGTTTAGAAGGAAACCTTTTGCTCTGTCTTCGCAAGCACAAACCCAAGCAGAGCAGAGACCTGAATGGTCAGTGCCACCTGGCGAGTCTCCACCACCCTGGCTCTCCGCCTCCCAGGGCTCAAGGTCTACGGTGTGAGCTTCAGCGAGGAGCACGGAGCTGGGCGGTTAAGGCTCGGGCTCTGGAACAGGGTCAGTAGCAGGCTGCGTGGACGTGGGCTAGCTGCCACAGCAGCCTGCGCCTCAGTGTCCTCATCTGTAAAACGGGACGGCAGGGACTAGCCTCTCCCCCCGGTGACTGAGGGTCACAGGAAGATGCAGGGAGCGTTCCGCACGGCGCCCAGGACAGACGAGCCTCACGCACAGAAGCTGAGCTCTGGGCCACCCAGAGAGCAAAGCCCACCGGCGTCTCCTCCCCCGGAGGCGCCCACAGCGGCCATCTGCTCTCCTGCGCCAAAGGAATCAACCGCGCCGAGGAAAACAGGAACTCATTTCAAGAACTCCCGAACGAACCACTTCCCCCTTCCCAACAGACTCCGCTCCTGCGGGCGCCGGGCAGGGGCGCGGGCTCCCGAACTCACTGTTCTTGTTGTTGAAGGCCGACACCGACAGGGCGGGCTCCATGTCCCGGAGCTTGATCTCCTCCCTCCGCCGCCCGCTTCGCCAGAAGTCGAGGGCCACGTCTGTGATCCTCTCCGCCCCTGCGTTGCTGCAGAGCAGGTGCGGGGAATGAGAGCGGGCCTCCCCCAGCCCGCAGGCTCCGAGCTCTCCACCGCGCCCGCCAGGACGTACCTGAGGAAGATGAAGATGGCTTTCTGGTAGGAGACCCCGTCCACGTGGTCGTAATAGTCCAGGAAAGGCTTGATGGCATCGATGAGGCCGGCGTGCATCTTGTCCATCTCATCGAATATGAAGATGGACCTCGCGCAGGCGCTCACGTTGCCGCGGATCCACAGCTGTAGCTGGTCCTGAATCGCAGGGGAAGCGACACGAGTTCTCAGCAGGCGCAGCTCCGACCCCAGCCCGGCACCCGGCACCGGTAAACCCCAGCGGCTTCGGAAAGGCTGAGCGCTCGCTGCAGCGTCAGCTCCGAGCTAACAACTTCACACACACAACCCCTCCGATGGGTGTAATCACACCCATTTTACAGATGAGGACACAGGCACGAGCTTAATCAACGTGCCATTATAAAATTACTGGGATCTGAACCCCACCCTGCCTGATTCCAAAGCCCCCACTTGGATTATAATTCCTGAGCTGTCACCCCAAAGCTGTGGCACTGAACTGCCGGCCATGTTAACACACTTCCTGTGCACACCGGCCTTCCAGAAGGAAGGGAGAGGACGAGAGACCCGTTCTGCCATCAGTCCTCAGCACAGCCGTGGGAAGGCTCCAGCCTCCTGAGGGGGAAAGTAAGGCGTGCAGGCTCCTTTAAGTGAGGCGCCTGGACTCGAGAGCATGCGCCTTGGCATGAGTGTGGCCAGATAACACTCCTGAGGTTCTGGGACAATGCCCACGGCTGTGCTTAAGCAGAAACATTCCCTGAGAACACAATCAGGTACTTCTTAGAAACACAAGCAATTGCCCTAGCTGGTTCGGCTCAGTGGGTAGAGCACTGGTCTTCAGACAGAAAGGTCCCAGGTTCGATTCTGGTCAAGGACATGTACCTTGGTTGTGAGCACATCCCCCGTAGGGGGTGTGCAGGAGGCAGCTGATCAATGTTTCCAACTCTCTATCCCTCTCCCTTCCTCTCTGTAAAAAATCAATAAAATATATATTTTTAAAAAAACTAACCAATTAAGGAGAAAAGACCTATTTAATCAGAAGTTTGAGCTACGGTGCTTTTCTGAATTCCCCACACAAAGTGAAGAGGAGAAATTAGCTGTTTTCAGGTTTGACTTCTTATGATTTTGGTGTCTGCTTGGCTACCTCGACCAGGGGAGCCGGGTTACAATGTTCCATTCTACGTATCTAAGTAGGAATTCTGCTCTAAGGAGGACTAGTCTCTGTGCACAGAGGAACCTCAGGAGAGCACGTGGCCCCCAAACACATCCCTGTTTAAACAAGGACTCGCTCAGATCTGCTAGTTCTCCCTCTCTGCCTCCGAAACTTTAGGCAATAACAGAGAACACGTACTGAGCCCTCACTACCCGCCAGCCGCCCTCTGAGCTCTACTCCCATCATGCTTTATCGTGAGCTCCCCAGGCCAATCCAATGTGTGCACAACAGAACACCATTGCACTCTATTTTACAGCTGAGGAAATTAAGGCACTGAGAGGGTAAGTAACTTGCCCAACATCACACAGCTAGTAAGTAATGGAGCCTGAATGCTAACTAGGATGACCCACTTGACTCAATTTGTCTGGAACTTTCCCAGGTTTGGCACTGAAAATCCCACATGCTAGGAACCTTGGGCAGCTGGTCACCCAAGCAGAAAGGGGAAGGAAGGATGAGGGTTAAATGGCTGCGTCTTGCCACTTTGCGGGTTTGTTACACACATTAAGAAAGGTGACAGTTGACGCTTATTCGAACACTCATGTGCCAGGGACCAGGACACACACGTGATAGACAGAGCTCACTGAGTTCTCATGGCCCCATTTCACAGATGAAGAACTGAGCCTCCGAGAGGTGGGGCAAGCTTCCCAAGGCCACACAACTGGTGTGGGCGAGTCAGGACTCAAATCCAGATGTGTCTGCCGCCAAAGCCCAGGCCGCTGACCAGCGACAGAAAACAAAAGCGGTTTGCCACACTGAAGGTAGCAAACTTCGGCCTCTCTAGAAAGGTTCCCTCTTCCACAAAATGAGTGAGGTCTGATGATGACTTTAAGTCGGATGTGGCTGTGGCCGTTTCCAAGATCCCCTGCCCCCACTTAAAACTAGCAACACACTGGGCCTGACTCTGGAAACCACGAGGTTTGGTAGCGGAACTGCTCCGGGCATCTGAAACCCTCCGTGGCTGCCACCCGCGGCCATTTCAGGGCTCACTCCTTCTAACCAGCAATCCCCAAACCCCACCCCACACCCGAGAAACCCCCACGCAGCGCCCCGCTTGCCTTGTACAGGGTGAGGTTGGAGGCGTGCGGGAAGTGCAGCGTGGCCACGAACAGGTGCACAAAGTGGCTGCTGAGGCCGCCCTCGTACAGGTTCTCGGCGATGATCTTGCTGGCGAAGTTCTTGCCGGTGCCGGTCCAGCCGTGCATGGAGAGCGTGAGCGGCTTCTTGGGCTTCGGGTTGCTGATGAAGCCGGTCAGGGCGTTTAGGATGACCTTCTTGGCAAGATGCTGCCCGAAGAGCTTGCGGTCCAGGTCCCGCTGCAGCTCTGGGGAAAGCGGAGCCCGTCAGGGGGGTGCGGGCGGCGGCGGGCGGGATTCGGCCGCGTTTCCAGCCGCGGGCTCCCGGGAGGCGAGGAAGCCCGAGCGGGTGGGCCCGGGTCCCCTCTGCTAGCGCGGCCCATGCACACGGGCCCCAGCCGGGCTGCTCCCCTGAAAGGTCCGCGGCTCCGCGCCCCCCGCCGGCGGTGACGAGCACCGACCCCAGCCCCGCGCCTCCCGCCGCAGCCCCGCGCCTCCCGCCCCGGCCCCGCGCCTCCCGCCCCGGCCCCGCGCCCCCCGCCCCGCGGCGCAGGCAAAGGGCCGCGGTTCGGCCGCGGGGCCCGCCCGGAAGAGCCCGCCATCCTTCCCGTCTCCGGCCGCGAAGGCGCACGTCTCTTGGGGTAAGGCGACCAGACGTGATTTCTAACAATGTGTCCCGCGGCTGTTTAAAAAAGTCCCGAAACGCCGCGGGACGCGGGACACATTGTCAGAAATCGGGACGTCTGCTCGCCTTATCTTTGGGGGAAGTTTCCCTGTCCGCACGGCCCCCGCCCCCGTGTCTGCGGGAAGCACCCGGCCGGCAGTTCGCCTCCCGGGTCCGACCGAAGTCCGGCCGCGTCCGGCGGTGGCGCAGCGCCAGGCCCCACCCGCACCGGGCCGCCCGGGCACCGGGTTCCGGGTCCGGCCCGCCGGCCTCTGCTCGCCGGGGCGCCCGACCCCGCCTCGGACCGCCGGCCGCCCGCCTACCTTCGCGGCGGAGGCTCCGCTTGTGGTTGCAGCACTCGGCGAAGAGGCAGTAGAGGCGCGGGTAGGAGATGTAGCTGGTGAGCACGCCGGCCAGGGCCAGCCCCAGGCTGATGGGCTCCACCGCGCGCGCCAGCGGCGCCAGCAGCAGCAGGCCCAGGGCGGCCCGGCCCAGCTTCATGCCCGGACCCCCGCCGCCCGGCGCGCCGTCAGCCTTCCGCGGCCCCGCCGGACCGCGCTTCCGGTTCCTCCCCCTCGCCGCCGCCATCTTTGCCTGGGGCGGGCCTCTCCGTGACGCCGGCGACGCCATCTTTGTTAGGGGCACCGCCATTTCCTGCTTCCGGGAGGCGGCGCCGGAAGTTGATGGGGGCCACTGTTTATTTTCGTTTTTTTTAAAAAAAACTTTTACAGAAAAATTGTGGGCACACATGCCTCCTCCGCCTGGCACATAGTTTCCTCTATTACTAGCATCTTTCTGTTACATATGAACCTGTATTGACACTAAGGCTTGTTCAGATACTTCCTTGGTTTTTACCTGTTGTCCCATTTCTGATCCAGGATCCCATCCAAGGTACCACATTATACTTAGTCTCCTCTTGATTGTGGGTGTTTCTCAGATTTTCCTTGGTTTTGATGACCTTGACAGTTTGGGGGAGCACTGGTCAAATCTTTTGTAGGACGCCCCCCTATTGGAATTTGTCCCATGTTTAGACTGAGGTTATGGAATAAATGTCCTTTACAGAGATACAGTGCTATCTTTGTAACATTATATCAAGGGCACAGACTATCAGCATGATTTGTGACTACTGATGTTGACCTTTATCACCTGGCTGAGTTCCTGTTGTCAGGTTCCTCTACTATAAAGTTGCTCACACTCATTCATTCATAGTTTGGAGGATTACCTATGTCCCAGGTTAGACACGATTCCTATATTCACCTTTACCTTGCACAATGCACACTCTCAATCAGCCTAGAAGTCACTCGACCTGTTATTTCCTCATTCCAAGCTGTTCAAAGTCTTCAGGAAAAATGACAGCACAAGTGGCACTCAACTTGACAGCTAACAGGTTGGAGCCTGCCTCTTGAACTAAATAAGCAGTTCTTTTGAGCTGCCCACCCCCAGGCTCTGAACACATTGCCTAGTATTGGTGTGAGGAGACGCAAAATGAACAAGAAGGCTAAATTCATTTCATATTTAATATAGAAGCACGGAAGTGATAGAGACAGGTAATTTTTCCTTCCTAATAAAAAGAAATAGGTAACTTTGTAAAAGTCAGAGAATACCAGTGTCCCTTTGATCCATTCTAGAATTTTCTACCGTCCACTGGAAACAGGGAAGGATGCATTTCTGAACCCCATTCCAGATCACTGGAAGTAGAAGACATGATCACACATATAATAAAAAGCACAATTTAAAGGATATTATCTCACCCTGAACACTCAGCTCTTTTCTCCTGAGCCAGGAAAAATATTAAGAAAAAGTCAACATTATTTACAAACAAGATTTAATAACATTCACAAGAATAGTTTGCCTCCAAATAAGAAAACCATGTATTGTTTTGTTTCAAAAGGATACAAATTTAGAGCCTGAAAAATCCAGCAGGTAAGGTAAGCAGCCAGACTAGGAGTCTGTTTCTGGAACTGTCTGCTAGCCAATGGTCAGGGTTCTGTCCAGGAAGGCTTTACCATGGGGCGAGGGCAGTGCTATTTACACCCCAATCTGCACTTCTCCCGTGGCTGCCCTCAATACCGTCTGTTCATCTTCTTGAACTTCTCATAATGATAGTCATCAGTGGCCTTCTCGTTAGCAGGACGCTTGCGGTTTGGGGGGGACCCTGTGGAGGAAAAGAGGAAAGTCACTGACAGGCGACGTCCCTGTGGGCAAGGACATCTCCACAGAAGCCTCAGGGCTACCCTGGTGAAGAGACATAGTAGGGCCTCAGCTAACACTTGTTATTGAGTGACTGTAAACATACGGAGTTGGTGCCAGCCAAACTGTGCTGACCTCAGCATCCCACTACGTGAACAGTAGCAGCCACACTGCACTGTCTGACTCCACCAGACACGGTGCTGTCCTTTAGCCATGGCTGCCTTTTACCCTCAGCAAGCCTAGCAGGGCACCTTACCATCTTTGCTCAGAGAGGTCAGGAGACTTGCTCAGATGAGATAGGCTGAGAGATGCATCCAAGTCTGGTGACTCCAAAACCCTCGCTTACCATGTGTCTAACACAAAGCTCTTTGGGAAGCCAAGACCACAAAACCAAGACGTTCAGGAAGTAGTTTCCCCAGTAAGAAAGAGGAATGAGAGGCTTTTCAGAAGCCTCAGCAAATGTTGCATTTCCTTAGTCATCCCATGGCTGATGAGAGGGTGACTCCCAGGTGCAGGCAAGCGTGTGGGAGGGTCTCTGCGCGCTGCTGGGGGAGGACAGGAGCATCCGCCTCTGGAGGACCCTTTGGTGACTTCTCCAAAGGCAGCCTAGAGGCATGATGGTCAAGAATGAGCACCAGCCGAAACTGGTTTGGCTCAGTGGATAGAGTGTCGGCTTGCGGACTGAAAGGTCCCAGGTTCGATTCCGGTCAAGGGCATGTACAATACCTTGGTTGTGGGCACATCTCTGGTAGGGGGTGTGCAGGAGGCAGCTGGTCGATGATTCTCTCATCGATGTTTCTAGCTCTCTTTCCCTCTCCCTTCCTCTCTATGAAAAATCAATAAAACATATTTTTTTTAAAAAAGAAAAAAGAAAAAAAAGAATGAGCACCAAAGCAGCGTCTAAAGAGGGAAAATGGGAAACAAGCTAAGTGGCCAGCCAGAGGGAGATGGTGAGACATCTGTGTTTACTGACACGGAGAGTCATGCGGGGAGACCGCTGAGTAAAACGCTGTGAGATCCTTCTGGGTGCATACCGTGTCTCCTGTATGTGAACAAGTCTGAAAGACTGTACACACAATGTTAACAGTGGTTGTCTCTGGGGGGTGAAACTATGAGTAACTTTCCATTTATTTTTGTTTATTGAAATTTTGAAATTTTTGAGTCTCTGTGTTTGACAGCCCATGAATCCTCAGAGCAGCCCCAGGTGGTAGGTTTTATTCCCATTCCCAGTTTGTAGACGAGGAAACTGAGGCTTGCAAAGGGGAAGGGACAAGGCCGTGGTCCAGAACATGGGCTAAAACTCAGATGTCCCGCAGCCCAAGCTCCCGCCTCCCTGGTCCCCGAGTGCTGTGACCCCCCGGCCGCCCAGGCCCCCTGTGCTCACGGTCAGGCTCCGGCTTCTCGGTGTCGCCCACTCGCAAGGGCCGGGCTTTGGGCTCTTCTTTGTTCCTCCGAATGGGGGCGTTGAGCTCCTCGTGATAAACTGGACCAGAGAGCAGGGGACATGTCAGACAAAACCCGGGAACCCAGGGACCTCACACCCATGGGGCAGGGGCGGGAGAGGGCTGCCTCCCCCGAGGCTTACATCGGTTGTGCTGCACGTAATTCACCGCCATGTTGGTGGGCACAAAGGATGTCTCGCTGTCTTTCTTCTTGTTCTGCTGCTCTGCCAGCAGGCGGGCCTTGGCATCCTCCGTGGAGATGATGTTTTTTATCTTAGCGCTAAGGGGAGACAGGAGCCATGCCACGCATTAGATTGCCGCCCCTCGGGTCCTCAGGGGTGACTGGTGCAGCTGGCAGCCCACCACTGCAGAAGGAAGTCCTCATTCCTGGGCCCAGCTCTGCAGTTTACGAGCTCCCCTGCAGCCACACCCTATGGCATTCCCAAGCACGGAGACGCGGGACTTATTCTCCTCTGATTAAGAGGAAACTGCGCCTGAGAGGAGCAGAGAACTGCCTGAGGCTCAGAGCTGGAAGGCCAGGACAGAGGTGAGAACCTGGAGGTCTCCCACCTTCTGCTCAGCCGCAGAGGATTCTCACCACTGCAGTTCCTCCATGACAGCCCCCTTTAGAGCAGATGTTCTGTAGTAAAAACGAGAGGAGGATCGGGGGGCGGCTAAGCCTTTAACAATGCTCCTCCTCCAATAAAACAGAACAACAGCCGGGCATGAGACTCAGTGCTGAGCATGGACCTGTGGACCAGGTCACAGTTCAAGTCCCCGGCAGGGCACAGCCCAAGGTGTGGACTAGCTGCCCAGAACGGGGTGTGCAGGAGGCAGCCAGTCGATGATTATCTCTCCTCATTAATGTTTCTATCTCTCTCTCGATCCTTTCTGAAATGAATAAGAAGACATTAAGAACAACAACGAAAGAACACAGGGCCTGACTACAACAGCTGAAGAGCTGAGAACGAAGGCTAAATCAGCAGTCAGGGTCCTTAAGTGTCTGTAACTACTCTGCCCAGAACTGCTGGAGACAACCACCTCAGCCCACCAGAGAGGACACAGGTTTGTGGGTTTCCAAGGAGCCAGGTGAGAAAGTCCCCTGACTTCTAACTGGAAAGCAGCGCGGTCCCTGCAGGAGCGGCGAGGCGAGAGTCTGGACGTACTCGATGCCCAGGTCCACCTCGGGGATGCCGCTCAGCATCTGGTTGGAAAGCATCTCCTCGGTCTTCTTTGCCGAGGAGACGCGGATGCTTTCCGGGAGCTCGTAGAGACAGTCCTCTGCGTTCTTGGGCTTCACTTTCTGCTCTTCGTGCTCCACGATCCCTTTCCTCTTCTTCAGCTCCGTCTCGATGTACTTCATCCTGGAACCAGAAGCCAGGTCTCAGGGAGGGGAGGACGCCCCCAACAGGCACCTTTGGAATGAGCGGCCCCAACACGGCCCCCAGAGCAGTGACGCTCCGTGAGGAGGTCCTCATCAGTCCACGGAGAGGTGAGGAAAATAACAATAACCAATTTTTCCTTCAAGTTAAAACTTACAACTTACATTATGCGATTACGTGCCACCAATCTATAGGTGCTATCCTCAGTAAGGTTCTTTGAAGACAGAAGGATGATGGGAGATGGTATGGTAGTTGTTTGTTCAACAGTCTTATTGGCCAAAATAAAAAGTAGGCATCTATGCAGAAACCAGTTTGGCTCAGTGGTAGAGCATCGGCCTGCGGACTGAAAGGTCCCAGGTTCGATTCCAGTCAAGGGCATGTATCTTGGTTGCGGGCACATCCCCAGGAGGGGGTGTGCAGGAGGCAGCTGATCGATGTTTCTCGTTGATGTTTCTAGCTCTCTATCTCTATCCTTCTTCCTTCCTCTCTGTAAAAAAATCAGTAAAATATATTGTAGGATAAAAAAAAAAAAAAGTAGGTGTCTAGTGTTTAATCCCTGCAATGTTTTGGGGAAGTGTTATTAGTCAAGGACTCTACAATCTCGAGAACTTTTAAAGAATTTTTCAGACTTTTTCAAAGTTCCTGAGCCTGGGAGGCAGGCCAAGAGGGACCAGCACTGATGGCCTTGGTTGACTCTGGAAATGTCCTGTGTGACTGACTAGCTCGGACCGTGTCTGGCTGGCGCCCACCCCCGGTCACACACAGCCAGGCTGACACCTACATGTCGGCGTCCTCGTCCCTCCGGTTGGTTTCCGCCGAGAACGATGTCCCCAGGTGGAGGTCTTCCTCTTCACTGATCCTGGCGGGAGAGAGGAAGAGGGAAGCTACGCTCACGAAGCTGTGTGCCACTGACAGCACAGGCACACGACAAACAGCGTCAGTCCTCTCGACAGTGGGGGAAATACATGAGATGTGAATACCATAAATATAAGCAAGCAAACTGGAGATTCCTCTGGGGAATTGGCACATACTTTTGTTTTTTGCTTTTGAACTGTTTGAATGCGTTATTCTTACAATTGTGTTTTTATGCTTTCTTTCAAAAGAAAAAGGAAACTTCCACGAGGGTTTGAAAGACAATAAACAATGCACCTTTACAAAACGGACCATACCCACATCTCTCTAAGCTAATTTTTGGAGAGTTTTTGTTTTCCTGTTTTTCTGCATAGAGGATACTTGAAGATGTCTCTCTAAAGTAAGGTGTCTCCTCAGACGTCACGATTTCCAACAATTTGTCCCGCAGCGTTTTTAAAAAGTCCTGATTTTCCGCGGGACAAATTGTTAAAAATAGGGACTGTCCCGCCAAAAGCGGGACGTCTGGTCACCTTACTCTAAAGCCGCTGCCGCAGGCCCAGCTCTCCGGGCACAGGGACCCAGTGGGGCCACAGGGCACCCGTACCACGTGTCCTGCACTCACTTGTCCTTGCCCCTTTCCTTCAGCTTCTTCATGTCCACCATGCCTCCGGTCTTCATCTGGAAGGGGTCGTCCTGCAGAAAGCGAAGACAGCGGGGAAGAAACCTCTTCGTCACTGGCAGCGAGTTTCCTTTTCTAAGGAAACACCATCAGCCACTGAGGAGCACCCCGTCTTCCCACTGCCCAGGGAGGACCCCACCACTTACCACCAGAGTGGTCTCCTCTTGTACCTTCTCGCCCACCAGCAGGGCTACAGCACTAGTGGAACCGAAAAGGAAAAGCGGGCAGAATGGCACATTTCAGAGGCGAGAAAGAATGTTTAGGAAGTTTGTAGATGGCAACATAGTGGCAGGTGGGACAAGGGGTGGGCACCAAAGCCGGCGGGAAAAGCTGTGAGACTAAGAAGGCAAACCTTTCTATTGTATAAAGCCACCTGGCATCACCCTGCCTCGGAAACCTCACTTCTGAGATTGTTTGCCTTCGGGGAGCGAAGCTGGAGACAAGTGTAGGAAGACACTACTGAGGCCTGATCTGATGAAAGTTTACAAAATGACCTCCAGGTCCTCGAAGGGAATTAAGTTACATTGTGTACATACTTGTGGTGGAGCACTATGTAGCCATTAAAAAGGGCTTTGGAAAGATAATCTGCAAAGTGAGTGAACGCCACAATGTCCTAATGAATTGAAAATAGCATAGAACAAAAGTTCTCACTATTGCCGAAACGGGTTTGACTCAGTGGATAGAGCTTCGGTCTGCGGACTGAAGAGTCCCGGGTTCAATTCCGGTCAAGGGCATGTACATTGGTTGTGGGCACATCCCCGGTAGGGGGTGTGCAGGAGGCGGCTGGTCAATAATTCTCTCTCATCGATGTTTCTAGCTATCTATCCCTCTCTCTTCTCTCTGTGAAAAATCAATAAAATATATATATTTTTTAAAAAGTTCTCACTATTCTTTACAAAAGGGAGAAAGAATACACATCGGAAAGGACATTAAATGTTAACACTGGTTACCTCTGGATGGAGGAATTATGGGTGCTGTTTATTTCTTGATTATACTTTTCTAAATTTTCCAAATTCTCAAACATTAATGTGCTTTCACACAATAAAAACAAGAGTGAATGACTTGTTTCTGTACCTCTGGAGCAAACCTTAAGACCACATGGCCCAGGCCGTCTCCTGATTAAACATTTCAACAAACACTGTGCCTCCTTTGGGGTGTACAGTGGGAGGTGTACAGTGTATCTGTCAAGAAACGGGGCTAAAGCCCTAGCCGGTTTGGCTCAGGAGGTTTGAGCATCCGCCTGCAGACTGAAGGGTCCCAGGTTCAATTCCAGTCAGGGTACCCGGATTGCAGGCTCAATCCCCTGACTAGGTCAGGACATGTGCAGGAGGCAACTAATGGAAGTGTCTTTCTCACATCAATGTTTCTCTCTGTGTGTCTCTCCCCCTTCCATCATGTCTAAAATTCATCGGGGGGGGGGGGGGGAAATCCTCGGTGAGGATTAACAACAAAATAATAATAATTTAAAAATTAAAAATAAAACTAAATAAGTAAATCAAAGAAAAAGGGCTATGTCTGAGGAGATATTCTGGACAGCGACCCGCCGGGGGCGTGTCAGTCATCTCCTCCTCCTCCTCCCCCTCCTCCTCCCCCCCTTCTCCACCCTCTCCTCCCCCTCCAATTCCCCCTCCTCTTTCCCCTCTCCTCCCTCCCCCCTGCTACCCCCCCTTCTCCTCTTCCTCCTCCTCCTCCGGGCCCCCACGGTACCCACCTCACTCCGTTGGGCCTCTTCCTCAAGTTCTGCACCTCTCGGGTCTCCTCCAGTTTCAATCTGAATAAAAGGCAATGGCCGGGTTCAGAGATCCTCCGCGGAACTCAGAGCCAAACAGCAGCTTCGCCGGCACAGGGTCCAGAAGGCGAACCTGCGCCTGGACCCACCGGGACTCCGATGCACTGCCCATCCCGGGGACAGTTCCTCCAACTATGCGGCCTCGGGGGTGGCGGCCTCGGGGGTGGCCTCAGCCCTAGAACCCTCCATTGGTCCGCAAAGGGGGACACCACCACCGGCTCACGGTTGCCAAAGATGTCAACAAGGCGCCGGGCCGGTGGTGAGACCCCGGGCCAGCTTCTCGTTTCCTGCCCAGTGGAAAGCCCGTTCCCAACGCACCGAACCTCTTCTGAGCCCTGCTCATCTTCCTCCGACTCCGAGTCGGCCCGGCGCCGGCGGAAAGTCTTCCCGGTGACCGGCATGGTCGCGCCGGCCCCGCGAACCCCCCGCTGCCCCGCTGCGCTGAGGGCCGGCCCGCTTCCGGCGCGCAGCAGTGACGTCAGCGCGCCCGCCCCGCCGGGCCCCGCCCCGAGCTCCTGGTCCCACCCGTCTCTCACGGCCCACATGGCCACGCCCCTTTGGTAGCATAGCCACCTCCCGATTGGCCAGCCGAGGGGGGGGAGGCGGGGCGAAGCCGGCCAGGCCCCGCGACCCTGCACAGCTCAGCCTGTTTGACTGGCAGGCTGCGGTGGCGCGGTTGCGAAGGCAGGTGAGTTTGTGGCTGCTGTCCGCGGGGTAGGGGGCCGGGCCCCCCGGAGCTGGGGCGACCCCAGCCCTGCTCCCGGCCGGCGGGGGCCCGGCCCTGCCAAATGCCCCGGCCAGGTGATCGGAGCCGGGGAACCCCGCCCGCCATCACCCTCTCCCCTCCTCCGGCGGGCGCCCAGGGGGTCCTCTGGGGTTCGGTCGGCCCACATCGAGCCCCGGGGGACTCGTCGTTCTCCAGGACAGGGGACGCCATCTCTTTCCTTCTGCCAGGGCCCGATCCAGCGTTGAAAGCATGCGTGCGGCGTCTCGGGGCGCTGACTTTTAGTTCCCCCGGGTCTGGGCCCTGACATATTTTTTCCTTTAGGGACAAAAGATGACCACTTATCAGTGGGGGTGAATTCAAGTCCCACGCCGATTGCCCCGCTGAAAATGACCCCCGCCATGTCTTCCTGAGGAGACGCACGTCTGATGCTTTGAACTCACAGATTTTTTTTTGATTTTTTTTTTGAGGCTTAGGGCTCCTCCTCCGGTGTTTGCCAGCCCTTGACCTTAAGGGGCCTTGTTTTTATCCTCTGTCACTAGGACTGTCGCTCTGCCCTTGGCCCCTTCTGCCCCAAGATGCAGAGAGAATTAAGTTCATTTCAAATATGGGCATCGCCAAACGCCCATCGGAAATAACTACATGCCTAAGCAGGGGCTTAGAAGGCTCAGGAACCCCTGAAGTAGTAGTTTTCCCATTGGAGGCCGGGCTTCCCTTTGAAAGCTCGACCTCTGAGTAAGCGCTCGTTACTAGGCTTAGTATTATCTCCTTGTGGCAGGTACTGGGCTAAGTATTATCTCGTTGGACTGTCCCAACAGGCCTATGAAGTCGATTCAGTTATTCTTTCATTTTGCAAACGAGAATCTAGGGCTCAGAGAGGCAATGCGTGCCTCGAGTGACCCAGCCGGAAGGTGGTGCGGGTCAGCGAGGGCCCACCTCTGCAGGCTGTGCACAGGAGCGCTTCAGGGAACGTTTGCTGCCGCTGCTGTGGCTGCCACCCAGTGGCCGGGGGAGGTGCTGATGGAGGCTGTTCCCTCTTCTGGAAGGCCATTCTCAAGCTGGAGAGCATTTCTGGAATGCCTTCCTTTTTTTCTGGAACAGCCTCCTCTGAGATGGTTGCTCTCTTCCCTGGACCGAGACAGATGCACTCGGACTTCTCAGAAAAGCCTTTTGGCTTTGACCAAAAGCTGTTTAGTAGCTGTGTGGCCTCCAGCCAGTGACTTTACCTCTCTGAGCCTCAGTCCTTCTTCCTTTGGTGATGGAGATGGAGATGGAGATGGAGCTGGGTTTAACTTCCAATATGGCCACCCCCAGGGCGGTTCTGAGGATTTATTTAGTGAGGTCTGTTAGTATCTGTGCAGTACGCGGGGCCATTCGGGCAGGGGCAAGTCCTCCTGCCAGGGGCTGGTGGGTGAGGCCAGGAGGGTCCCTGGAGGAGTGTGGGGATCCGGACTCGCCCAAGGCTGGAGGGGGCTGACTGCTCCGCTCTGAGAGCCAGCAGTGTGGTGGCCGCACAGCGAAGTGGGACTGGGTTAAAGGGAGGAACGTGTTGGGGATTCAGGGAAAATGGGGTTGCTTGGAAGTCTGCTGGAGAAGAGAGGGCAGGAGGGAGAAGAAGGGCACTTGTTCCGAGGGACAGAGGGGTGCAGGTGTGTGGGGTGAGGGACGGCTGATGGGGTGAGGACCAGGTTAGGGGTGTCCGTGTGCTGGGGGGGGGCTTGGCAGCGTCACCTTTCCCATCTTGAAGAACTTGGCTCCTGGCCAGGAGGAGGATGTAGGCAGAACCTCCAGGAAAATGATGAGTAATGGGCACCTGAGGCCTGGCCTCGGCAGCTGGTGCCAGGCCCGGATGTACCGCCTGCCAGCCTGCGTCCCTGGGGAGGCACTTCCCCGGCACTCAGTGCGGCCCCGGGGACGGGGAGCGGGGAGTGCCTGCCCTCGTTCAGGACCAAGCCTCTGGGGAGCCTCGCCCGCCGGCCCTGAGTGGGTGGGCTCGTTGCAGACTGAGCAGCTGCCTCCTTTCCTCCCCCGCTCTGCCCCGCGAGGACAGGCAGGCAGCTCTGGGGGGCAGGAGGGAGACGTGCTCGGGGGTCGCTGTGGTGAAGGTGCCACCCCTCTGGCTGGCATTTGGGGCACCAGCTCTGGGCAGGCACTTCACTGACTCTCAGCAGCACAGCCGACCAGCTGCTCTCAAGAGGGTCCGTTCCCACCCTGGCTGGGGTAGCTCAGTGGATAGAGCATCGGCCTGTGGACTGAAGGGTCCTGGGTTCGATTCCAGACAAGAGCACAGGCCTGGATTGTGGATTCCATCTCCAGTGGGGGGCGTGCAGGAGGCAGCTGATCAATGATTCTCTTTCATCATGGATGTTTCTTTCTTTCTTTTTAAAATATATTTTATTGATTATTTTTTACCGAGAGGAAGGGAGAGGGATAGAGATTAGAAACATCGATGAGAGGGAAACATCGACCAGCTGCCTCCTGCACATCCCATACTGGGGATGTGCCCGCAACCAAGGTCCATGCCCTTGACTAGAATCGAACCTGGGACCCTTGAGTCCACAGGCCGACGCTCTATCCCCTGAGCCAAACCGGTTAGGGCTCATCATCATCATCAATAATTCATTTAAGAGTAAGTTGCAGGCATCATGACTCTTTACCCCTAAATAGATTAGGAGCAATCATCTTCAACCGAGGACATTGTAATATGTAACCGGAAAACAGTTCCTATGTCCAGGAACTTGAATGTTCATCTAATACCATGTCAGTCTGTTAGGGCTGCCATATGGTACGACGGACAGGGTGATCTACACAACAGAAATGTGTTTTCTCACAGTTCTGGGGTCTGGAAGTTCAAGATCAAGGTGTCAGGAGATTTGGCGCCTGGCCAGCATGGCTCAGTGGCTGAGTGTCGACCTCTGAACCAGGAGGTCACAGTTTGATTCCTGGTCAGGACACGGGCCCGGGTTGCAGGCTCCATCCCCAGTGTGGAGCGTGCAGGAGGCAGCCAATCAATGATTCTTTCTTGTCATTGACGCTTCTCTCTCTCTTTCCCTCTCCCTTCCTCTCTGAAATCAAACACACACACACACACACACACACACACACACACACATATATATACAAACACATATGTATATATGTTTTTGTTGTTTTTCGTTTGTTTGTTTTTTAGGAGAGATTTGGTTTCTGTCGGCCGCCTGCTTGCTGTGTTCTCACAGGGTCTCTCCTCCTGTGTGTCCAAATTTCCTTCTCTTAGAAGGCTACCGGTTCAGACTGGACTCAGGCCACTCTAGACCTCACTGGAACCTAATTGCCTCTTTAAAGACCCTGTCTCCAGATAAGATCACATTCTGGGGGGTTAGGGCTTCCATATGTAAATTTGGGGGGTACAGTTCAGCCCACCGCAAACACTGTCCTCCAGTAGCTAACCCACATTCGCCTTCGTCAGCTGGCCCGCTGCTCCCCTTCACCTCGCTAACCCAGGTCCCAGTTCTGTGCCGTCTCTGGTGCCTTTTATCTGGAGCGGCGTCTCCGCCGGCGCTGAGAAGGGAATCAGGCTGTCGGAAGCAGACGTGCCGGCTGCCTGGGGACAGGACAGCTGTTGGCTTCCCTCCCTGGGGTTCCGCTTCCTGGCTTTGCTTTGATGTCAGGAGCTCCAGGAGGTGAGCGTGGAGCAGCCGGGAGAATCAGAGCCGCATGCAGCAGGCACCCGCTGTGACATACATGGCATTTCTTGGCGGGGCTGGAGGGGCCCCGCGTGAACAGCTGATGGAAGGTGCCCCTTGGCACGTGACTCACAGTCCGACCATCCCGGTTCCTGATTTCTGAAGCCTGGTCATAACACAACTTACGGTGCTAAATATTTTTTGAACATTCTTTTGTGTTTTTTTTGTTTTTTTTTTTAATTGATTTCAGAGAGGAAGAGAGAAAAAGAAACGTCAGTGGTGAGAGAATCATTGATCGGCTGCCTCCTGCAGACCCCACCTTGGGGATTGAGCCAGCAACCCGAGCCTGTGCCCTGACCGGGAATCGAACCATGACCTCCTGGTTGCTAGGTCGATGCTCAGCCCCTGAGCCACGCCTGCCGGGCTTTTTTGAGCATCTTGCTGTGCAGATATCATAAATGCAAACTCGGAGCCACCCTGAACATCCCCAGGATCAGAAGTCATTGCCCTTCCTGTGCACCGTCTCACCGCCCTCCCAGTAACCCCGTGGCTGTCTTTGTCCCACTTCATGGACGAGGACATGAGGATTGAGTGATTCCTCTAGAGACACACAGCTTGCAAACAATGAGAGCAAGGACCGGAAGCAGGGCTGCCGTCTCTGTCTCCGTCCTCTCTGTCTCCCTCTTTGAAGTGCCCGCATCTGGAAGGCTGTGGTGACATGTGCCTGTATCCTGTGGTGTAGGCATGTCAAACTCACAGCCCTCGGGCCACATGCCTCATTTATTTGGCCCGTGTTAGCCTTTGAGTTTGACATGCTTGCTGTGGTTGCTCAAGACTTGGGGGTCAGGGGTTCTGAGCAGCACAGCGTCGCGTTGGAGGCTCAAAGGATGATGGGAGGGTCCTAGAGGCATGCCCAGAGGGACTGAGCCACCTGCCCGTCCTGGCAGCCACAGGGAGCAGCAGTGGGAGAGGCCCTGGCCCTCTCCTGCAGACCCTGGAAGGTTCTCTGCTCAGAACCACAAAGGCCATGCCCAGCAGTGACTGGTGAAGGGCTCCTGGCCCAGGAAGCTGTGTGACTTTAAAACAACAGAGCCCAAACTGGCTTGGCTCTGTGGATAGAGCGTCAGTCTGCGGACTGAAAGGTCCCAGGTTCGATTCCGGTCAGGGGCATGTACATTGGTTGCAGGCACATCCCCAATAGGGGGTGTGCAAGAGGCAGCTGGTCGATGTTTCTCTCTCATCGATGTTTCTAGCTCTCCATCCCTCTCTCGTCCTCTCTGTAACAAATCAATAATATATATATATAACAACGGAACCACCTGAAGTGCCCGGTTTGTCCCCCAGGTGCCCTGCCAGCAGCCTCGCGTCCAGCCCACCGGGCGGCTGTGGACAGAGAATGTGGAGACCGGCTGCTGCGTGGGGGAGTCGCTGTCCGCAGAGGTAGGCCCCTGCTCCCCGACTCAGGTGAGGCCCTCAAGCCAAGAGGGAGGTGGAGTTTCCTTTTTAGGTGAAATAGTGGAATTGTGTTTCCATTTTTCTTTTTTGAAGTCCTCTTTTAGAAAAACAAACACAAATGAAATGGTGTGATATCTGAGGTTTGAAGGAAGCTGGCCATGAGCTGACTGAGAAGCTGGTGGTGGGCCATGGGAGTGCACCGCACGCTAGTTCTGTCATTTCCGCCGGGTTTGCCTCTCCAGTGAGTCAGAGAGAATGAGAGTTGGGGCCTAGGAGTCCGATGGACTTGTGTTCTAGTCCTCCCACCCGTGAGGCCGGACAAGGAGGAGCCGCTTCCCAGCCTGTGAGACTGGCTGACCACCGCTGCCTCCAAGATTGCTGGGAAGGATTGGGGATTTGACTTCAGAGAGAGAAAGAAAGAGGGAGAGAGATAGAAACATCCATGAGGAGAGAGAATCATTGATCGGCTGCCTCCTGCACCGCCTCGACTGGGGACCGAGTCTGCATCCTGGGCATGCGCCCTGACCTGACTGGGAATCGAACCGTGACCTCCTGGTTCATAGGTCGATACTCAAGCACTGAGCAACCCCAGCTGGGCATTGTTTTTGAGGAAATGAAGCGTGGGAAGCTCTTAGGCTGGTTCCTGGCATCTGATCCGCACCAGCAGCTTCTGTTCAGGCAGGGAGTCCGACGCCCGGCCGACAGTGTGGGAAGGGCATGGGGTCCCCCTCCCTCCAGCGGACACAGGGCCCCTGCTTTCACTGAGCCAGCACCCAGCCCCTCCATGGACCACACCTCGTTGTGTCTGTGGCTCAGCACAGCCAGGGGGGTGGCATCGGCACAACCCGAGGTCTCTCTCCACCCCACTTCCCAGCAAGGGGGTGAGGCTCGGAGAAGTTACCTAGCTCCCCTCGCTCGCCGGCTGATGGTGTGGCTGAGCAGGGACTCAAGGCCAAGGTCCTGTCCTTACCCTCTGGCCTCCCCGCCTCCCTCTGGCAGTGGCTGCCGTCTCACCTGGGACTCGGTTCCTGCAGGTGAGACCGGGCCAGCATGGGGGACGCCAGGGACCTGTGCCCTCACCTGGACTCCTTAGGGGAGGTGACCAAAGACGACTTGCTGCTCAAATCAAAGGTGAGGGCTCTGACGTGGTAGGGCCGAGGCCAGCTCAGGGCCTCTGGTTTCGGGGGACGGGCGTGCCTGAGGCAGCACAGAGCTGCCTTCCCATGGGCCTCACTCGTCTCAGCGGAGGCCTTCCCGGCGCCGGGTCCCAGCGGCCGTCGCCCCTCTCCTGTCCACCCGGGAGCACGGGTGCTCTGGCCGTTGACTGCCGAGCCCGTGTCACCTCGCTGGCACCCCATTAGCTGGGAGTGAGCCCATGATCATGGGGTGGGGTGTGGGTGGGGTGGGAGTGGGGGTGGGGGCGGGAAAGCCTGCAGCATCCGCTGAGCGCTCAGCCCCAATCCACCATCTGTCACTCAGGCCGGAAGGGGAGGCGCTGGTGGACAGGGAGAAGGCTCCGGCACCCGGACCGCCAGCCGCCTGGTGTTTTCTGGGGTCACAGGCAATGGTCCCCTCACTGTCCCAGACTCTGCGGAGTCACAGGCATGCACAGCCCCCACACCCCTTTGCACGGGGCCCGGAGCCAGGGAGAGCAGAGGAAGTGATGGGGCTGCAGAGTCAGGGGTCAGAGGTTCAAATGATATCACTGAGCGCGTCTGCAGGCACGTCATAAAACACGATTCCGACGCTGAGGTGTCAGTGGGAACCGGATCTAGACTAGGGGGCTGCTGAGGGCCCGCCCAGGCAAACGGCCTTCGAGCCGAGGCCGGTGTGTGCTCCCCCAGCAGGGGCGGGCGGGCTCCGGGGGACGAGGGGAGGGTGGTCTCCCCCGCCCATCACCTCTGCCGCTCCTCCTTCCTCCGCACAGGGGACCTGCCAGTCGTGCGGAGTGTCTGGGCCAAACCTGTGGGCCTGTCTCCAGGTGAGGGCTCGGCGTGAACATCCGTCCCCCTGTGGGTCCTTGGGCGGGGACAGAGCGCGTGGATGTCTCAGGGGCGGGTCCCACGCCAAGAGGGCCCCAGAGTCAGCGAGTCCCTGGCTGGCTACCTTGGCAGCCATTAAAAAACGACAAGAGGGGTCCTCGCTGGTGTGAGCAAGGGACAGAGCGTCAGCCTGTGGACCGAAGGATCCTGAGTTCAATTCCGTTCAAGGGCACATACCTCGGCTGCAGGCTCCTCCCTGGCCTGGGCTCTGGTCGGGACACACTGGGCCCCACTGCCTCCGCCCTCCAGCACCCCTCCCCCCTCGAATGTGGGTCCCAGTCACCTGCCCATCAGGAGTGTGATGGACAGGGCACGTGGAGGCGAGAGGGTCTGTGCCCGGGACTAGCTGCGCCCTGCCCGCCTCGCTCAGAGACAGGCCATTCGGGAAGCTGCAGGGTGTCCCCGTGTTCCTGCAGGCAGGGCCTCCCTGTGGATGGAGGTGGGGGTACAGCAGGTGCACCTTCTTAGCCAGCCCCACCCACCCTCCTCCCCTCTCCCAGGTGTCCTGCCCCTACGTAGGCTGCGGAGAATCCTTCGCCGACCACAGCACCATCCATGCGCAGGTGAGTGGCCAGCCCAGCCCTCCCAGCTCCCCAGCCTCTGGGCCTCCCAGGCTGCGTCTATAAAACAGGAGCGATCGCAGCAAAGACGCAGGAGCTCTGCGGTGCCTGCTCATGCTGGCTCGGGCAGCCCCCATTCCTGCTGGAGGGTGTGCAGACTGGCTCCCAGCCGCTGTCCCCCAGGCCCTGAGCTGAGAGCTGAGAGCGAGGCGGCCCCAGGCGGGCCTGGCTCCTCGGGGCCAGAGCCTCCGGGCCTGACTTTGGATCCTGCCCTTCCAGTTGCAAAGGCACAACCTGACGGTGAACCTGACCACGTTCCGGGTGTGGTGTTACGCCTGCGAGAAGGAGGTGTTCCCGGAGCAGCGGCTGGCGGCCCCCCTGCCGGCCGCCCCGCCCCGCCTCTTCGAGCAGGTGAGGGTGCCACGGGGTCCCCGGGGTTGGTCCCCGTGCTGGGGGCGTGGCCGTGGGAGCCGGCTGGAGGTCTTTCTCCGGGGGCTCATGGGCTCCCGCTCACCCCTCGGTCCCCTCACCCCTCTCTCTCTCTTCTGGGTCTGGAACTCAGGACTCCCCGCCGCCTTCCCGCCCTCTGAGAGCCGTGCCCATCGCCGTGGCCGACGAGGGGGAGTCCGAGTCAGAGGACGATGACCTGAAACCTCGAGGTAACAGCGTGCCTGAGCCCGGGCCGGGCCCCGCCAGGCAGGGCGCGCTGCACGCACCGGGCGTGGGCATGTCAGACGCCACATGGCCTGCTGGCTCCCTTGGCGCAGCCACCAGCCACCTCCCGGAGGCCCGGCCTCCTGCCCGTCTCCTGTGGCCCCGGGAAGCCGGCCCCTCCGCATGGCCCGTGGCTGGACTGAGGGCGGTGGGCGGGCGGGCGGGGGCACAGTTGTCCCGTTGGATGCACCGAGGTCATTCCAGCCGGCGAGCAGGAACCACACTAACTTCCTTGGCAGACACGGGGGCGGGGGGCTGGGGGGAGGGGACACCAGCCCTGGGTCCTCCTCTGGCGGCTAATCTCCGTGTGACTGTGCGCTCGCCCCTCCCACGCCGGGCCAGGCCTCACGGGCATGAAGAACCTGGGGAACTCCTGCTACATGAACGCCGCGCTGCAGGCCCTGTCCAACTGGTAGGTGTCCCCGCCCGCGAGGGGCTGGACTGAGCCCGGGCCCGGGAGGAGCAGCAGCCCCCAAGCTGTGCTGCATTTCCCACATCAACCCCTAAAAACAGACAGACGCCCCTAAAAACAGGCAGCACTGGGACCCAGGGACCCGCCACCAAACTCAGGGGGGGGGGGGAGCCGATGTGGGGAGGGTGTGGGCGCCTCACCCGTGGTGCTGGGAACCACTGGGACGTCCGGGCGCCGGGGAGGATGTACCGTCTCTGGAGGAGCTGTCCTCGCGGGGAGCGTTCAGGTCGACGATCGCGGTTTGCAGATCTGTGCTTTCTAGTTTTTCTTCGGGGAATGTCTGCTTCCTGTGGGGTGCAGTCAGTTTTAAAAGCATAAGGGAAGGGGGGGGTGTCTTCAGGCTCAGGAGGTCTCCGGAGAGCGGGTGACGGAGGGCCAGGCGCCCTCTCTCACCCACACCACAGCCCTAACGGGGGTCTCCCCTCCCCGGGGGAGGAAAGGGCTGCATGAGCCTCGGAGCCGAGCGCCACCTGCCGGGGGCACAGACAACCGCACGCCATTCCCGTCGGCACTGCGACCGCACATCCGAAAACTGGTGCAGGCAGGGGCTTCTCCGAGGCCTCTGCTGACTCCCGAGACGGCTCCCCCCAGGGCCGCTGCCTCCCATGCCCGCATCTCAGGAGGGGGCCAGGCCCCGGGCCAGGCTCCCCCATGACCTCGGTTTCAGGGTCACCTCTGAGGCGCAGCGTCAGGGCTCCAGCATAGGAACCGGGGACCCATCCAGCCCACACCGGTGGGCTCCTGCCCCGTCTGCCCCGGGCCCCTCCTCCCAGCCTCCTCACCGATGCCGCCCCTGCCTCTCTCCCTGCCCCGGCCACCCGGCCAGCCCCCCGCTGACCCAGTTCTTCCTGGAGTGCGGCGGCCTGGTGCGCACCGACAAGAAGCCCGCCCTGTGCAAGAGCTACCAGAAGCTGGTGTCCGAGGTCTGGCACCGGAAGCGGTGAGTGGCGCCGGGCTGGGCAGCAGGTGGTCATCGCCAGCTATTTCACACACCGGGGTGTGTGTGTGTGTGTGTGTGTGTGTGTGTGTAGGATCAGAGAGGCTGAGATAGCTTGCTCAAGGTCACAGCTACGAGAGATGGAGCCAGAACTTGAACCTGGTGCCCATCCAGCCGGCGGCCACTTTTCACGTGTGTGTGCGGAGGCCCGGGCCCCACCTCGCAGGTGCAGCGGGCGCTTTGTCGCCGTGAAATGAACTTGGATTAGACTCGTTTCTCCAGAAAAAGTCAAAACTGGAAATAATTTAAAACGAGAGCAGAGAGCTATATCCAGTGTAGAAGCAGATGGCAAAGCAATATGATGCAAAAGTAAAAAATACACATAAAACGGAAAAAACCACAAAGCAGTATGATGCAATACAACTCCAATGTTGTAAGAAGCCACGCTTGTTTAAGTAGTAACATGGAATATAATTTTGTATAAGTATCTATTTTCGTGGGAAAATCTAGAAACCTTAATGAAGCTGTCCCTGGGTGGTCATGTTTCCTTGTTAGGCGTTCCTGAAGTTTCAGGTTTTTCTGTTTGTGTTACTGATTTTTCTGTTTGTGTTACTTTCTGGTTACAGTCCACACTCAGTGTTACATTAGCGTCAGGTGTACACGTAGTGCGCTGGCCCTCATGTGACTTAGCGTGATCCCCTCCACCCCCAGGCCCGCCCGGCACCACAGCCACCGAGCACAGTACCGACTGCATCCCCGCGCTGTCCCCGTCTCAGTAACGCACACGTGTTACTTCTGAGATGAGAGAAGCCACGGTGGATACTTGGGAGTGAAACAGCTTTAAAGTGGGCTTATCATGGACTGGCGGGGTCGGCACCTCCAGGCAGGAGCCCTTTGCCTGGTGTGGCTATGACTTGATATTTTCCTTCCTTTTTAAAATATATATATAGCCGAGACCGGTTTGGCTCAATGGATAGAGCGTCGGCTTGGGGACTGACGGGTCCCGGGTTCGATTCCGGTCAAGGGCATGTACCTTGGTTGCAGGCATATCCCCAATAGAGGGTGTGCAAGAGACAGCTGATCAATGACTCTCTCTCATCGATGTTTCTAACTATCTCTCTCCCTTCCTCTCTGTACAAAATCAATAAAAAAAATTAAAAAAAAAAAGAGTTTAAAAAAATAATAATAAAATAAAATATATATATATATATGTACATATATATATTATTGATATTGTACAGAGAGGAAGGGAGAGAGATAGAGAGTTAGAAACATCGATGAGAGAGAAGCATCGATCAGCTGCCTCTTGCACACCCTCTACTGGAGATATGCCCGCAAGCAAGGTACATGCCCTTGACCGGAATTGAACCTGGGACCCTTCAGTCCAAAGGCTGATGCTCTATTCACTGAGCCAAACTGGTCAGGGCCTTATTTAAAATTAATCAATTAATTAATAATTAAATAATAAATTTATTGGTTTCAGAGAGGAAGGGAGAGAGAGAGAATCATTGATTGGCTGCCTCCTGCATGTCCCTCACTGGGGACCCGTGCCCTGACCAGGAATCGAACCGTGACCTCCCGCTTCACTGAGCCACACCGGCCGGGCCACCTTTTCCTTCTTGACCGTGGAGAGGAGTGAGCCTGCAGGGGCTCCTGCTGGGTCACCGCCCCCAGAGGCTGGTGAACCCGCCCTGTGTCTGTCCCCACTGCTGGCCACCTGTCACCCCACGGGCACTCACGGGTCTGCTTCCCTACAGCCTGAGCTACGTGGTCCCCACCAGCCTGTCCCACGGGATCAAGTTGGTCAACCCCATGTTCCGAGGCTACGCCCAGCAGGTAGGCACTGAGCGGCCCCGCACACCAGGGCCACAGCCCCCAGGCCTGGCCTTGACACCAGGACCGGCGTGGAGCGCGGCAGAGGCCGAGCGCCGAGGGCGGGTCCTCTCACCGCCCAGCCCTCCGCAGGCTGCTGCCGTCCTCCCCGCACGGCCTCCGGGAGACTGGGCTCCGGCCACACCCCCGCCCGGCACCGCGGCTGGGCCGTGTGGAGGGGGCCTGGGCACAGGCGGCCCAGCTGCAGCGTCCGCCTCGGCCCTGCGTTCAGGCGGCAGGTGGCTGCTCCTTTCCCCAGCCTCCGGCCAGGTCCGTGCTTGTTGGAGTAAACCGTTGATTACACGGTGTGTAAATCCGTAGAACACCTGTGAGACTGTAGCTTCGTGCGTAAAAGCACGGGGCCAAGATGAAGCAGAATGGCCCTGGCTGGTTTGGCTCAGTGGATAAAGCACTGGCCTTGGAAGGGTCCTGGGTTCGATTCAGGGTTTGATGTTTCCTTTTTAAAAAAAAAATTTTTTTTAATTGATTTCAGAGAGGAAGGGAGAGAGGGAGAGAGAGGTAAGAACATCAATGATGAGAGAGAATCATTGATTGGCTGCCTCCTGCAGACCCCCCACTGGGGACTGAGCCTGGAACCAGGCATGTGTTTGACAGGGAATCAAACTGTGAATTCCTGGTTTATAGGTCGACGCTCAATCGCTGAGCCAGGCTGGCTGGGCTCATCATTGATGTTTCTGTTTATTTATTTTTAAATACAATTTTTAAAAAATATACATTTTTCTTTATTTCAGAGGGGGAGAGAGAGATGGAAACATCAATGATGAGAGAGAATCATTGATCAGCTGCCTCCTCCATGCCCCCTACTGGGGATCTAGCCCACAGCCAGAGAATGTGCCCTTGACTAACTGAACCCAGGACTCTTCAGTCCCCAATCCGGCACTCTATCCACTGAGCCACACCAGCTGGCGTTCATCATTAGGGTTTCTCTCTCTCTTCCTCTCTGAAACCGATAAAAATATATTTTTAAAAATGACAAAGCAGAATGCAGCCACATACATACCTCAGCTCTGAGGCGGTGGGGGCTCCGGCCCCACAGCTGGGCTTTCGCCGCTGGCTTGCCGGTGGAGCCGGCTTGCCTGGCTGCTGTTCCTGCTGCCCGAACGCGGGGCCAGAGCAGCGGTCAGGAAGGCTCCTCCTCTCTTCCCCTCCCCGGGTCAGGGCTGCTGGCCTTCCCCTCCTCACCCTCAGCCGTTCCAATGCCAGGCTCCTGACTGGGGAGCCTGAGAGTGACGAGGTCACACAGCGATCAGAGCCCAGCGCCTGGTGGCCGGGGCTGCAGGGCCGGGACGCGCTGCCCATGGCGGCCTCGTTGTCCGGCTCTGTGCAGAGGCTCGTGCTGGGCCAGGGCAGCCCGCACCTCCTAAGGGATGGAGGTGTTTGTTAAGTGGTCACCGTAGTTACAGTCCTCTCTTAAAGGGGCCCTGCCTCACCCCATGGAGGCTCAGGGCGGTTCTGCAGCGCCCAGGTCACACACAGCACCTGGTGGAGGGGTGGGATCAGGCCTGGCTGAGCTGTCCCATCCCTCGGGCACCCTCCTGCTGTACAGGCGCCGCTCCGAGCCTGTGTGCCCAGCAGAGGGGGTTAGGGCGGTGCTGCAGACGCCACGTGAGGGGCCGTCAGCGCGCCTGCCCGGGGCCAGCAGGCCTGGGCAGGGCCCCCGGGAGCCCGGTGACGGGCCCTGCTTGCAGGACACCCAGGAGTTCCTGCGCTGCCTGATGGACCAGCTGCACGAGGAGCTCAAGGAGCCGGTGGTGGCGGTGGCCGCGGCCCTGACGGAGGCCCGGGACTCGGACCTGAGTGACTCGGACGAGAAGAGGGAGGGCGACCGCAGCCCGTCGGAGGACGAGTTCCTGTCCTGCGACTCCAGCAGCGACAGGGGCGAGGGCAGCAGCCAGGGCCGCGGCGAGGGCGGCTCGGTGGAGGCGGAGCTGCTGATGGGCGAGGAGGCGGGCCGTGCCATCTCCGAGAAGGAGCGCATGAAGGACCGCAAGCTCTCCTGGGGCCAGCAGCGCACCAGCTCCGAGCAGGTGGACGAGGACGCGGACGTGGACACCGCCCTGGACCCCCGGCCCCCGGCGGCCCAGCCCCCATCGCCACGGTCCGCCAGCCCCTGCCGGACACCAGGTACCAGCCGGCCGCTCAGGGAACCACGCCGTTTGTCCAGCACCCACTGTGCGCCAAGCACCTACTGTGTGTCCAGCACCCTACTGTGCGCCCAGCACCCACTGTGTGCCAAGCACCCACTGAGCGCCAAGCACCTACTGTGCACCAAGCACCCACTGTGTGCCAAGCACTGCCATGCTCCGTCCCCACTTCCCTGGGGGGTTTTCTACCACAAGACCCAACTTCTGGGTGAGAAACGGGCTAAATAATAGGTCCAGACTCATTTAGCTGATAGAGCTGGCGTGGAATTCAGAGCTTGCCCTGGAACCCTGCCGTTGGGTGGGCACAGACGGGGGGCCCGCGGCAGTTCAGGCCTGAGTCCCGGTAGGAGGTGCTGGCTGCCCTGGCCCAGCACGGCCCCTCTCTGCCCACAGAGCCCGACAACGAGGCCCACATGCGCAGCGCGTCCCGGCCCTGCAGCCCCGCCCACCACCACGAGGGCCACGCCAAGCTGGCCAGCAGCCCTCCCCGCGCCAGCCCCGTGAGGATGGGGCCGGCCTACGTGCTCAAGAAAGGTGCGGAGGGCTGGCGGGCGGCAGGCAGCGGGGCCGGGAGGGGAGTCCTGCTGTGGCCGCCGGGTTCGAGCCATCCTGGCTGGGCTGGGCTGGGCTGCGACTCTGAACCCCCCCTCCCCACCCCGGGGACCTGAGTGGGGGAGCCCCATCGCACAGACCATGACCAGCGCCAGGAGTGGAGCGCAGACCTAGTCACGTGACGCAGGGATCTGCCCCCCACGTCCTGGCCGAGCGCCTGAGCCCGGTCCTGGCCCGCGGGCTGGACCCAGCTCCCTCTGCCCGCAGCCCCGGGGCCGAGCTCAGGCAGCCGGCGGCGGAAGGAGCAGCACTACCGCAGCGTCATCTCCGACATCTTCGACGGCTCCATCCTCAGCCTGGTGCAGTGCCTCACCTGTGACCGGGTGAGCGCCCGCTGGGGCCGGGGAGGGGGAGCAGGCCCTCTGCCTCCCGCCTGCCCGCCGGCGGCCGGGACTCGGGTGCAGGCTCCGCGTGGTCTGAGCGGGGCGGGACTCTGGAGGGTGGACACCGGGCTGACGCTGGACTCCACAGGTGTCCACGACGGTGGAGACGTTCCAGGACCTGTCGCTGCCCATCCCGGGCAAGGAGGACCTGGCCAAGCTGCACTCGGCCATCTACCAGAGCGCGCCCGCCAAGCCCGGCTCCTGCGGGGACGGCTACGCCGCCCAGGGCTGGCTCGCCTTCATCATGGAGTACATCCGACGGTGAGCCACGCCCGCCTCCCTGGTCCCCGCCCCGGAGGCCCCGGAGTGTGTAGGGCTGAGGGCGGAGTCCAGGGAGCTGGAGGGGAAGGATGTGTGGGGCCAGCTAAGTCGGGGTGTCCCTGTCCGCGCTGGATGGCTCTGGGATTGGAAGGCAGCACGGGCAGGGTGAGCAAGGACGGCCAGCGGGGTCAGGGCCCACAGGCGAGGGAAGCGAGGCTCAGGGCGCGAGGAGGCCGCTCTCCCGGGACCCTGTGCCGCTGGCTGGCGTCCCAGGTGCCTGGCTCCACCCTGGGCCACGAGGCCCCGGCCCGAAGGCCCCCAACGCTCACCCCTGCTCAGGCCCTGGCAGCACCGCCACCCTTTGTCTGTCCCCGCAGGTTTGTGGTGTCCTGTACCCCCAGCTGGTTTTGGGGGCCGGTCATCACCCTGGAGGACTGCCTCGCTGCCTTCTTCGCTGCGGATGAGCTGAAGGGTGAGCAGGCTAGTGGGGGCGGGTTTCCGGGACTCACTGCAGCCTCCCACCGCTGCCCGCCTGGGCTGCACGTCCCAGTCCACCCCCTGGTGGCTCCTAGGGGTCCCCGTTTTCTCCCCTCACCAATCTGGTGGTGACGGCGATACGCGCGCTCATCCTGCATTTCCTTGACTATTGCTGAGCGTGAGATGCTTTTCGCAGGCATCTCGGCGTTAGCAGTCCCGTTTCTGTCCTTTTCCCGTTTTCCTGCTGAGCTGGGCCTGGCCTTGCAGGCCCCGGAGGAGCAGGAGTGGGGGTGGGCGCCCAGCTCTCCGTGGGCCTGTGTGAGCTGAGGGCGGGCACAGGTGGCCTTGCTGAGCTGAGGCTGTTCCCTCTGCGCCCAGCTGGCTGGAATCTGTTCTCATGAAAAGATGGGCACTGCCCTCCATCAGGTGGCGCTCTGTGCCCACCGAGGAGCCCGGGCCTTATCCTCCGTCCTGTGGGGGGAGGGCGTGGCCCGGGCAGCTGCCTACCGTTCCCCTGCTGACCGCCTCCTCCCTGCAGGAGACAACATGTACAGCTGCGAGCGGTGTAAAAAGTGAGTGCCCCCGGGCTCCTCCGCCCTCGCCGCCGCCGTGCCCGGTGCCCGCACCCCCCCCCTGCCCCCCCATTCCCCAAGAGGTGCCACCCTGACCTCGCAGACATGACGGGGTGGGGGTCAGGGTGCTTGTCCGGGCCCTCACCCGCCCCTCAGGGCCGTCACCGCCTGTCGCCTGCTCTCCTCCCTCCCAGGCTGCGCAACGGGGTCAAGTACTGCAAGGTGCTGCGGCTGCCCGAGGTGAGAGGAGCAGCCGCCACTGCCCGCCATGCCTCCACTGCCCACCCTCCCCACCCACAATGCCCGCCCTCTCCGCCTCCACTGCCCACCCTCCCCGCCCGCCATGCCCGCCGGCCTCTCTGCCTCCACTGCCCACCCTCCCCACCCACAATGCCCGCCCTCCCCGCCCGCCATGCCCGCCGGCCTCTCCGCTGACGCAGGCTGTGTGTGAAGGAGGCCGTGGGGCTGGGCCCATGGCGAGGGCCCTCCGGGGTCTGTCACTCGGCACCCTGAGCGGCCTCCCTCCTTCCTCACCACGAGGCAGGTGTAGGGTGCCCTGGGCACCGCCATGTGGGCAGCTGTGCAGGGCGGGGACCTGGCCGGGGGGTCCGGGAAGGCCTGTCTGCGTGAGCCCCAAGGATGTGGGGTGTCGCCTTGGGGAGGGGGCGTGGGGCAGGGACAGGAGGGGGCCGGCTCAGCTCGCTCCGCGCAGGGGCCGCCCGTCCTCGGGCCCCGCGGCCGGGGCCTCGGAGCTCAGCCGCTGGCTCCGTGTCCAGCGGAGGTGGGACCCGAGGGGGCGGCAGGGCAGGGCGGGCAGGGCCCAGGGCGACGGGCCCTGCTCAGCCCAGAATGACCCGCTCCTCCCCCAGATCCTGTGCGTCCACCTGAAGCGCTTCCGGCACGAGGTCATGTACTCGTTCAAGATCAGCAGCCACGTCTCCTTCCCCCTCGAGGGGCTCGACCTGCGCCCCTTCCTGGCCAAGGAGTGCACGTCCCAGATCACCAGCTACGACCTGCTGTCCGTCATCTGCCACCACGGCACGGCGGGCAGTGAGTGCCCCCCCGGCCGCCCGGCGGTTCCCGGGCACCTCCTGCCCCCCCCTGGCCCGGCCGGTGGTTCCCGGGCACCTCCTGCCCCCCCCCCGGCCCCCCCGGCGGTTCCCGGGCACCTCCTGCCCCCCCCTGGCCCGGCCGGTGGTTCCCGGGCACCTCCTGCCCCCCCCCCGGCCGCCCGGCGGTTCCCGGGCACCTCCTGCCCCCCCCCCGGCCGCCCGGCGGTTCCCGGGCACCTCCTGCCCCCGGCCCCCCGGCCGCCCGGCGGTTCCCGGGCACCTCCCGCCCCCGGCCTGGCCCGCTCCCAGGGCATCTCCTGCCCGGCCCGCCCGGCCGCTCCCAGGGCATCTCCTGCCCCCCCCCCGCCCGCCTGGCTGTTCCCAGGGCATCTCCTGCCCCCCCCCCGGCCGCCCGCTCCCAGGGCATCTCCTGCCCGGTGCCGGCCGCCCGCTCCCAGGGCTCCTGTAACCCGCCCGCCTCTCCGCAGGCGGCCACTACATCGCCTACTGCCAGAACGTCATCAACGGGCAGTGGTACGAGTTCGACGACCAGTACGTCACCGAGGTCCACGAGACCGTGGTGCAGAGCGCCGAGGCCTACGTGCTCTTCTACAGGTGTGGGCGCCGGGGGCACGGGGGTGTGTGTGTGTGTGTGTGTGTGTGTGTGTGTGTGAGTGAGCCGGGGCTGCGGGGGTGTGTGTGTGTGTGTGTGTGTGTGTGTGAGCCTGGGCTGTGGGTGGGTGTGTGTGTGTGTGTGTGCCGGGGCTGCGGGTGTGTGTGTGTGTGTGTGTGTGTGTGTGTGCCGGGGCTGCGGGGGTGTGTGTGTGTGTGTGTGTGTGTGTGTGTGCCGGGGCTGCGGGTGTGTGTGTGTGTGTGTGTGTGTGCCGGGGCTGTGAGTGTGTGTGTGTGTGTGTGTGTGTGTGTGAGCCGGGGCTGCGGGGGTGTGTGTGTGTGTGTGTGTGTGTGTGTGCCGGGGCTGCGGGGGTGTGTGTGTGTGTGTGTGTGTGAGCCGGGGCTGCGGGTGTGTGTGTGTGTGTGTGTGTGTGCCCGGGGCTGCGGGTGTGTGTGTGTGTGTGTGTGTGTGCGTGCCCTGGGGCTGCGGGTGTGTGTGTGTGTGTGTGTGTGAGCCGGGGCTGCGGGGTGTGTGTGTGTGTGTGTGTGTGTGTGTGTGCCGGGGCTGTGGGGTGTGTGTGTGTGTGTGTGCCCGTGTGTGTGCGCCGGGGCGGGCATTGGCGGGCCTGGACCTGGTGCTCTGCTCCCGGGCTTACTGGGCGCACGGTGGTGGTGAAGCCTGGAAGGCCGTTAAGGCCCAGGGCTGAGAGTTTACATTTCTGAGAGAGAGCCCCCTGGTGCGGGGTGTGGGAGCCCGGACGGTGGGTTTGGGTCTTCTGTGTGGTCCCAGGAGGCGACGGAGGCCAGGACTTGGCAGGGGTGTGGGAGCCCATGTGCGGACAGGTCGCCCGCCGAGGGGCTCGATGGTTAGTCGGAGGCCGGATGGGGAGGGGGCTGCTCTGGGGCAGGCGTGGCTGTGCCCGCGGAGGGATGCGCAGCGGCTCTGTCCCCGCCAGGAAGAGCAGCGAGGAGGCGGTGCGGGAGCGGCAGCAGGTGGTGTCGCTGGCCGCCATGCGGGAGCCCAGCCTGCTGCGCTTCTACGTGTCCCGGGAGTGGCTCAACAAGTTCAACACCTTCGCAGAGCCGGGGCCCATCACCAACCACACCTTCCTCTGCTCCCACGGAGGTGAGGGCCCTCTCGGGGGTCGGGGTGCAGGGGGGCGGGCCGAGCCCCCACCTCTCCTCCCCCCGCAGGCATCCCGCCCAACAAGTACCACTACATCGACGACCTGGTGGTGATCCTGCCGCAGAGCGTGTGGGAGCACCTGTACGGCAGGTAGGGAGAGGCCCCTTCCAGGCAGCACCGTGTGGGCCCGCGGGCAGTGGGCAGGGGGGGGCGGGCAGGGCTGCCCGGCCCCACGCCGCCCGGCAGACGGCATGGAGCCTGCAGGGCTGCCCCTGCAGCTGAGTCTGCACCGAGGAAGGCCAGTGCAGTGAGTGCAGGCCCTGCCCTGTGGGTGGCACTCCTGCGGGCCCCGTGCTCCGACCTGCAGCTCCTCAGGGTCCGGCCGGGCAGGCTCAGCCACAGCCCTGCCCAGGGGCCAGGAGGGGAAGCGGGCATTGGTGCAGCCTTGGTGACGCACCGGCCTGGGCAGGCGCCCTGCTGGGGACTGGGCACGCTGGCACATGGCGTGGCGCCCAGGGAGCGGGGCAGGGGCCCCCGGCCCCCGCCCTCAGGGTGCGTGTTTCTCCCCCCCCCCTCCCCCACAGGTTTGGGGGCGGGCCCGCGGTGAACCACCTGTACGTGTGCTCCGTCTGCCAGGTGGAGATCGAGGCGCTGGCCAAGCGCAGGCGGGCGGAGATCGACACCTTCATTAAGGTGCGCGGGGGGTGGGGCGGGGTGGGGCGGGGTGGGGGGGCCTGGGGGAGGTTGTCGCCGGCCTCCAGCCTCCGCAGGGTCACGTTGGGCCTGCGTGGAGGCTGTGCTCTGTGGGGTCATAGTGGCCGGGGCCTGGCCCACGTCGCGGGCCTTACCCGCCAGGACACACACACACACACACACACACACACACACATGGGTGTGTGTGTAAGGTCAGGCCCATCTGCCTGGTCATTGTGAGCAGCTGCTGAAGGAGCCAGGTGCTGCTGTTTGGGGCTGGATGGTTCTCTCTCTCTCTCTTTTAATAGATGTTTATTGGTTTCAGAGAGGAAGGGAGAGAGAGAGAGAAGCATCAGTGATGAGAATCATTGATCAACTGCCTCCTGCACGCCCCCCACTGGGGATGGAGCCCACAACCCGGGCCTGCGCCCTGACCGGGAATTAAACCGTGACCTCCTGGTTCATAGGCTGACGCTCAACCCCAGGCCCGTGGCCGGGCTGGGCGGGTCTTTGTGGGGCTGTCAGAGCGGGGCCTCGGGACCCCCCGGTGTGCAGCGGTGGAGGGCCGGACCCCGCCCCGCGGCCATGGAGACGGGACAGGGCCAGGCGGTTCAGGGCGAGCCCGTTCTGCTGGGGAGACAGCCGCGGCCACGGGAGCTCACGGCGGAGACTCAGCGGCGTCAGCGGCCGCGGGGACGGCCCTTCTCCGCGGACCGACGTCTGGGGGCTCAGCCTGCTCCCGGAGACGCAGTGTGGGGTGAAGCTGGCGGGCAGGGTGGGGGTCCATGCTGACGCCCCCTCCCCCCGCCGCAGCTGAACAAGGCGTTCCAGGCCGAGGAGTCGCCCGGCGTCATCTACTGCATCAGCATGCAGTGGTTCCGCGAGTGGGAGGCCTTCGTCAAGGGCAAGGACAACGGTGAGTCCGGGCTCCGGGCCTGCAGCAGCGGGCGTGGCCGGGACGGCGGAGGCCCCAGGGGCTGCGCTGGGAGCAGAGAAGGCAGGTGCTCCTGCAGCTGTCTGCCCCCGGCTGCCGGCCCGGGCGCTGCTCTGCCCCTTCCTCCCGCCTCTCCTCTCAGGCTGACGCCTGAGGAGGCTGCCACTCCCTCCCGCCCTCCTTTGGGGATTCTGTTCCCCTGAGTCAGGGCCAGTTGGAGATTACAATGCCCTTCGCTTACCATGACTCACTTAGCACAGCGCTGGGTCCGGGGCGAGTGCGAGGCCCGGGGAGGCCCTGTGCGGCCGGGGCCCCCTCCTCACCTGAGGACGCCCACTGGGCTCCGGCCAGGACGGCTTCTGGGGTCCCGGGGGGCGGCCTCCTGCAGGCTCGCTCTTACCTGTCTGGTGGAGGCGGGCACGGGGTCCTCCCGCCGGGCAGCGGTGCTGAGTCCGGCCGTGTCCCTCAGAGCCCCCCGGCCCCATTGACAACAGCCGGATCGCGCAGGTGAAAGGCAGCGGCCACATCCAGCTGAAGCCGGGTGAGCTCAGCCCCGCTCCCCCTGCCCGCGGCCATCGGCCCGTCCTTCCCGCCTTCCCGCAGCCCCAGCCCTGCGCCTGCGCCAGGCCAGGCGGCCACCCCGGCGAGGCCTGGCCAGCAGAGGGGCGGGGCCCTGGCCTCCATGTGGGTCCTCGGCCCCCTCCCACCTCCATGGCCTCTGCTGGCCTCCTCCCTGCCCGCCCTTCCTGCGGGCCCACCCCTGAGCCGGGGCCACAGCCAGGCGGGCGCCCGGTCAACCCCCGAGGCTTCCACTCCGCTTTGCACAGAAGCCTCGGCCGCCCTCCCCCCAGGGCGCCTGGCCCCCCCGGAGCCCCACTGCCGGGACGGTGGTTCCATGGGGGTGCAGGGGCCCGGGGTGTGCGGGCAGCACCCGCGCTGACAGGCGCCTCCGGGCCCGCAGGCGCCGACTACGGGCAGATCTCCGAGGAGACCTGGGCCTACCTGCACAGCCTGTACGGCGGCGGCCCCGAGATCGCCATCCGGCACAGCGTGGCCCAGCCGCCCGACCCGGACAGCCTGCACGGCGAGCAGAAGATCGAGGCCGAGACCCGGGCCCTGTGACCTCCGGGCTGTCTGTGAGCCCCCTCCTTCTCCAGAGACCCCCGGTGTCCCTGAGCCGGGGCCCCGTGCCCTCCTCGCTGCGGGGGCGAGCTGCCCTGAGGAGAGCCAGTGGCGGGAGAGGCAGGCGGTTGGGCCCAGCGGGTCTCCGTCCCGGCCCCGCCCCCTCGGCCAGCGGAGGCCCAGCCTTAGCGCCGAGCTCTCAGCAGGGGCTTTGGGACAGAGGGTCCGAGAGGCCGGGGCTTCGTGGGCGTTTCCACGGGGGCCTGGTCCAGGCCCGAGGCCCGCCTCCCCCGCACCTCCCCCGTCAGAGAGACTCCGAATGCTGGGCTGCTCTGCTTGGAGCCTCACTCCGGAGGGCTGTGTCCGAGGCCACGACCCGGCCTGTGCGGGCTGGACCGGCCCCCAGGAGCCGGTGGGGAAACGCGCTCTCGCTGCTGCCATTTGCTGCTCATGCAGCTCCCAGGGCGGCCAGGAGGGAGAAGCTCCGCCCGCCTAGCGCCCATCGCCCAGCGCCGGCCCGGCCGGAGGTGTGGCCCGGAGCGCCCTCTGGGTGCTGAGTGAGGCCGCTGCGGCCGAAGTGAAGTGGGGGGGGGGGGGGGTCCCGGAACCAGAGCCCCAGACACTGTGGACTTCAGTCTCCGAAGCCGCAGGTGTGGCGGGACCCCAGCGGGCTGGGCCCTGCAGCTCAGGCCTCGGCCTCGGCCTCGGACCCGGGGCCTCCCCGGCGATGGCAGAGCAGCCCCTGGGGTTCTGGGCGTTTGCCGCGGTGTTTGGAGAACTGCTCCTGCACCACAGGGACCCCCAGCCCAGGGCCACGGTGTGTGTCGCCCTGTGGGTGACACGGAGCTTCCGAGGTGCGGGCTGGGAGCTGGCCCACGTCTGTGCCGTGTAGTCTGTGTGCGAGATGCAGAATAAAGCACCCATGTTCCCCGCGGCCTCGCTGTGTCTCCGTCACGGGAGGGAAGCCTGAAGCCCTGTGTGCGGGGGAGGGCGGGCGTTCCTGGTGACACGGGGAGCAGGAGGGTCTTGCCTGGCTCTGATGGCAGAGGGGCTGCAGGAGCGAGGACGCAGCGCCCGAACCAGCCCGGCTCCAAGGGCTGGGCCCCTCCTGGCGCCACACCACAGACTCGGTGCCACCCCTCCCGGCAGTGCCCTCCCGGCCCCCTGGGCCCCGCCGGGCACCTCTCCTGGCGCACGGAGCTCCGGACAGTGAGCGATGCCCAGTCTGGTCCCCGCGGGCAGGTGGGTGGGTGTGTATTTTGGGACTTGGGGGAAGAGAAGGCCTTGTGTTGCCTGTTCCTTTAAACTTCACGTGAGGTGCCTTCGGGCATGTGCGGCACTTCCGCTCACACAGGGATGAAAGGGTGGCAGTGCTGCCCGCTGTGCACCCGCCAGGCCTGAGAAGCCAGCCCTCCGGCTCGCGGCCCCTTCCACTGCGGGGTCAGGCCTGGCCTCGCCCCTCGCCCCTCAGCCCCCGTTTCCCCACAGCGGGGGCCTGAGCGGGACCTCTGCTCTGCCACACCGGAGCGAGGGGTGGGACCCACCTGCGTGTTGGGCTGGGCTCTTCCCGCTGAGCGTGGAGGACGAGAATGGAAACGTTTGTCTGGGGCCTGAGTGGTTTGGGGTGGGAGACGTTTGCTTGTTCTACGCAGTGTTTCCCAAACTTCTCTCACGATGAAGTGGGGTTGTTAAACTACAGATTACTACTACTATTACCACTAAGAAGCGCTAAACTAGAATTTTGGGGAACATACAGGTAAAATTGTATACTTAACTAGTGCTCTAAGCTTAGTATACAATTTTACCTGTATGTTCCCCAAAATTCTAGTTTAGCGCCTCTCAGTTGGGACTCAGGAATCTTTAGTTTAACAGCTCCACCAGGTGATCCTCATCGTGAGAGAAGTTTGGGAAACTCTGAGCTACAGGAAGGAGAGAAAGAAAGAACTAGGCACAGCTGGCCTTAAAGTGTCTCCCGTTTTCACTTGAAATGCCTGGCCCTCGCGTGGCTCAGCCCGACTCAGCGCCGGAGCCCCAACACAGCACAGGAGCCTGCGGCTGCTCCGTGCACAGACCGGAGACAGGAAGTGTGGGCTGTGCCTCCATCCTGTGCCCTGGGGGCGGGGGTCTCCCTCCAGCAGCACCCCTGCAGCCGGGGAGCCTGGCCGGCTGCTCGGTACCTGCCTCTCCACCTGGCTGCGCTTCTGCTCACAAACCTGCTCAGAAATACACCTGCCGGCGCAGCCCCCCTCAGGCCTTCCTGCTGCCTCCCCGCTCCTCCCGCTTGAGTCCCGCAGACACGCTCTCCTGCAGGCCCCTGGCTCCAGCCCTGAGGGCCGTGGGTTGCGGAGACAGGACGGACGGGCGGGCGGGAGGGAGCCGGGAGCTTTTCAGTGTGTTCAGGAAAGCAGCCCAGGACGGTGAGGGTTTGACACCTGCCAGGTGGGGGTGTTTGGAGCCGGAACTGGGCCCAGGTTCTGCAGGACGGGGCGGGGCAGGGCTGGGCCTGTGCGGGGCAAGGACAGGCACTGAGGGGGTGGGGGGCAGCTGCTGCGGGACCCAATCTCCCCACCTCTGTTTGTGAGGCCACCCGAGGAGGAGGGGGGAGGGTAAGGGGGAGGACCGGAGGAGCAGGAGGGGGAGGAGGAAATCCGAGTTTCCTCCCCAGGCGTTTGTCCTGGGCTCCGAGGGTCTCCTCAGGTCCTGCTTCTCGGACCTTTGTGCCGGCGCTGTCCCCAGCGAACGGGGGCCGTGGAGGGGAGTCACTCACAGCACACAGACAGAACCGCAGGAGCCGCGCCAGGCTCTGGAACCCCAGGCCAAGCACTGCGCAGCACGACTCGCCGCCTCCCCTCAGAAAAGAAGGGAGAGGCCCCCTCTAGGCAGGGACCGGATATGTGGGACGTGAGCCCCCAGAGCCAGGCCTGCCCTTCACCCCACTCCCCTGCCCCTCCGCACTCAGGCTGCACCTCCGTCTCTGCAGCAGCAGCTCACCTGGTTCCCTTCCCGTCTCCTACACCTTCAGCTGCCCGTGGGTTTCACAATTCCCGAGACCCCTTTGCTCTAACACAAAATGGGGGGCCCCTCTGAACCCCTGCTCTGCCCACTTCCATGTCCTTCCTTGTCACCCAGTGGGGGACCCAGTTCTCTCGTGGCACGGAATCCTCTCCCACTAGAGGGCGCCCCTGCCCCCGTCTGCCCAGCGGTAGGACCGGGTGTGCCGGGTGGGGAAGGAGGGGCCCGGTGCCTGTGTCAGCCAGAAACCAGTCCTCCGCTCTGGCTCCGCATGGCTCTCGCCCGTGTCCAACCCCGGCCGGTGGAGTGAGTCACCAGAAGCAGGTGTCAACCCCTAAAGGCTGGAACCAAGTCAGGCATGAAGATGGGCAGGTGCAGCCCAGACGGTGTGGCTCAGTGTCCTAGGCGGTCATGGTTCCATCCCGTCAGGGCACACGCCCGAGTGCGTGCGTGCAGGAGGCGGCTCTCAGCATTGAGGTTTTCCCCTCTTCCTCCTCCTCCCTTCCTCTCTGAAATCAATTCTTTATATATATAAAAAAAAGATGGGCACACACAGCATTCAGACCAGAGACCAGTGTGGTGTCAGCGACAGGGACGCCATGGCGGCGCCAGGAGAAGCTCAGTCAGAGCCACTGTTTGCCAGCTGCTGCCGAGCCGGCCGCCCGCCCTCCGACGGCCTCCGGCTCCCCCCGCAGCTCCCAAGGCCGTGGCGTCCTCACCCGCAACCCAGAACCAAGGCCCAGAGAGCGGGAGGCCCAGGCGGCCCGGCTCCCAGCCCTGCAGGCCCCTGTGGGGGGGACACTCACCTTACAGGACTGCTCGCCACGGAGGACAAAGCTCCCCCAGACGCCGGAACATCCTCCTGAGACGTTTGCGGACGAGCGAACAGCAGGCCTCCGGCGGCACCGTCACCTGGCCCCCCGCCCGGCTCTCACCGGGACCACGCCGGGCCGGCCGCTGGAGGCTCTGGCCCGCGGCAGCTGGGGGGCCCTCGCTCTAGAGGGGTCACCCCCCCCGTGGGAGGAGGCCAAGGCCCCTCAGCAGTGAGCCCAACTTGACTTATCAAACGGCTCTGCTCACACCGGCTGCTCCAAGGCCCTTGGGATCCAGAGGTCGGTCTCTCCCAGGTGCCGGCCATGGAAGCCGGGCTCCAGCGCCCGGGGGAGCGGGGAGGGGGGAGGCTGGAGGTGCCAGGCTCCAGCGCCGCAGTCTGCAGCCTCAGGGAAACCAGGGGCTCCCAGCCAAGCCGCGCAGCCGGGGGCTGGAGCGCTCGTGCACAGACACTGATAAATGCCCTGAACCCCTAGAGGTGTGGCAGCTGAATTTGCCAAGAACCATTTCCCGGCCATCACAGGCTTCCCCCGAACCCCGGGACTGGGCCCACCTGAATCCCATCACCCATCCCGTCAGACAGCCCACAGGCCCCGCCCCAGCAGAGCGGGAGGACTGACTGGTCAGGCCCGGGGAATGGGGAGAGCGGACCAGCCCCAGCCCCAGCCCCAGGGACTCCACCTGCTTCAGTGGCGTCCCCTCCTGCAGCAAAGCACTCGGACTCCACGCCAGGGAGACGTTTATTTGACACGAGATTAACATGGAGGTGCAGGTCCGAGGCGGCCTTCCCGTGGCCTGTGTTCGGGTTCATCCATCTCCGGAGCCTTGGCAATGGCCGTGGCCACGCCGCGGGGCCTCCAGGGCCAGGGCCAGGGCCAGGGCCGCACACACCAGCCGTGGCCAGGTGCGCCCCGTCGGGTGACTTTGTATAAAGACGGTTTTGATGACAGAAGCACAGGAGGTGGAGCCATTTAGTCGCAACCCACGTTTCTGGAAAAACACTTAGCATCGACCATGTCCCGTTCTCCGTTCGGTAAACTTCGTGTGATGGCAGCTGCCGCCAAAGGCCGGCGAGGCCTCCGTGCTCCACCGGCGAGACCAGCCGGCACGGTCAACGCCGGCAGCCTAAGAGCGCCAGGCCCAGACCAAACCCTCCCTCGGGCCGGCCCCTCGTGGTTCCGTCCTGGAGGGCAAAGGGCACGTCCCTGTGTCTCAGGCTCTTTAAAGATGTGTCCTGCTTACACGATATGCTAACGGCGGCGGAGTGACAGGCAGCCGTCCGGGGGAGGCGGGCGGCACGAGGGGAGGTCCGGCTCCTACGAGAGGCGGGGGCTCCGTGGTAACACGGATCCACAGGGAGTAAACGGCCGCGCAGGGCTGGCGGCTAACCGCTTCCTTCCTGGATCGCCGCTGGGCAGAGCGGAGCGCCGAGGGGCAGGCACGGGGTCTCCACGCTGTCGGGCGCAGGGGTGCGGAAGGGAGAGAGGGGCGGGGACACAAGCATGTTCTGTACGGAGCGGCACAGACGTGAACAGCACAGATGTGAACAGGACAGGCTGATGCAGCCTCTGCCTGCCCCCCAGGCTGCGGCAGTGCCCGGCCGGACCCATCAGAAGACGCAGTGCGCATGCACGAGGCTCTGGGGCAGACTCGGAGCCGTAACATCCGTGAGCGTGGGAGAGCGGCCTGCGGACGAGGTGACTGGATCCTGGAGACCAGGTCACTGTCCCAGAGCAGCCCTGGACGCTGCTGTGGGTTTGCAGGGATGTGGGCGGAGGGGTCTAACTCCTCTGGCACCCTGGCTGCAGTGTCAGCCACCTGCTGAGCCCGCCCCTCCCGGGACTGGCTTCTGCTGTGCTGGCTGCTCCCTCTGCGGGGTCTGGGCCCAGCCCCACTTCTGGGAAGAAAGAGTGAGAGGGCCCAGTGGCCACTCACTCACACTCCACTTGACGCCACCTCCTTCCCCTGCTCCCCCGGCACCAGCTCGCTCAGGGCCTAGTCACCAGGGTCGGTGAGCTAACCAGAGGGTGGTGTGCGGTCACCCCGGGTTTGCCGAGAGGAGCCATCTTCCTACTGGCCACGGGCCCGCCCCTCAGGACCGGCCCCATCCCTACCCTCTGGCTCCTAGGAGACTGCCTTGTCTTGGACTTATCCACGATGAGAACTGAGGATGCAGGAGGTGACACCGAGCTACCCCACACCCCTGGCTCCACCGAGCTCCCGGCCTGCGGCCCCCAAACAGAAGCCCCGCCGCCCGGGGCGTGAGTGGCGCCGAAGGAGAGGCAGCCCAGGAGGCAAACGCAGGGAGTTCCGTGTCTGCGTGGCCCAGAGCACAAGACGGAAGTGGAGGCTGAGCCGCAGGCCACACCCAGGGCAGCACAAAGGACCTTTGGCGACGGAAGCACTGGGATCCTCGAGGCGGAGATCTTGGAACCCCAGAGGGGGGAGCTCTCACTGTGCAGCGAGTTCACGCAGAGTGTGGGGGCGCTCCTCGGCCACCCGGTGCCACAGCTGCCGTTCTTGGGGACAGCAGGGTGGGGCCGAGGACTGGAATTCGACTTCCAGTGTGGACCCACTGAAGGCAGGGCCCCAACCAAAACTGTGTGCATGCATGTGCACACACGGATATACATGTATGTGTGAGGCTCTCAGGCCGTGAGGTGTTGCGAGGGCCGACGCTCAGCCTGAGGCCAGGTCCCGCGTCAGGAAGGCCCACGGACGGGCGATGGGCTTGGGCCCAGGTGAGGGACCACGTCACGGGCGCCGGGCGCAGTCCGCCTGGCGGGTCCGGCCCTCCTGCCCAGGCTCCGTGGTCTCCCGGGAGACGGGCGGCAGGTTGTCACCGAAGGCACAGCGTGAACCGTGGACGGGCCGGAGCCGCTGGGAGGACAGGCCGGGGCCGGAGTGTGTGTGGGGGGAGCCGTGCCCGCTCTTTCCGTGGTCCTGCTGGGTGGGGGCCGGGATGGAGGCCACGGGAGCGGCGGGAGCATGCTGTGGAGAAAGGAAAGCGGAGGCAGGCGGCTGCAGCAGGGCCATCCCTTTGGCCCGAAGACGCGGCCGCTCGGTGGCCCGGCCAGGCTCCCAGCCTGGTCGTGGAGACAAGCAGCCCGGAGGGTTCCACTGGGACGGCTCCGGCTCCGGCCCCGGCTCCTCGGCGCCTTAGGAATCTACAACACAAACAGAAGGAAAGCTCTGTTAGAGGGGGCCGAGGCCAGGGGCAGGCACACTGCACTGCCCGGGGGGATGGGGGAGTAGAGGGGGGAAAGAGGGCAACCTTAGAGCGAGATTGGCTACCACCCGACACCACAGATAAGAACTTTCACGGTTTGGTCTCCAGGCTTCCTCCAGAGAAACCCAGCCCCCAGAGGATGGTGGCACCCCGTCCCCCCCAGCTCATCTTCCCCACAAGCTCAGTTTGGAGAGAAGGAAGGTGCCTGGCCTCCCAGAACAAAGCCAGGAGGCGGGCCGGTTCTCAGACCTTGGCCCCGGCCGTCAACATCCAGCGCACACAGAGGCCTATGGTAACCAGTGAAAGTTCTTCCTCTCCAGGGAAGCAGAGAAACCAGACAGACTCGGCCCTCGGGCACGCAGGGCGCAGGGCCCAGGGCGGGGTGTTTAGAAGCCCTGGGTGGGACGATCCGCGGGCCGGGGAACAGGCGCAGTCACAGTCTCAGAAAGGGACGCATCACCGACCACACGGAGGAGAACCGGTTATTAGAGGGGGACGGGGTACAGCTGAGAGGAGCCACAGAGCCTGTCCTTTCAGGCGAGGACAGAGAGAGGCGGGCACTTACTCAGAGCCCCGTGTCTACAAGCCGGAGCGGAGCTGCCGGCAGGGCCCTAGCTACCGACGGTCCTCCCTCCGGCTGGCTTCCGGTTCCAAAAACAAAAAGGTCATTAGGCAGCGGAGTCACCAGCAAACAAACAGATCAAAAGAGCAGAGCGTTAACACGGCGCGGTCAAGTGGTCCTCGGGGCTCTTAGGTGGCGTCTGCAGTGCATGCTACACACACACACACACACACACACACACACACGCACACACGTGTTGGGGGAGGCTGGTGCACGCACTTTCCAAAACAAAACCGAGAGCGGACGGTCCCAGCCCAGGGCCGGCGGGAGCCACTGGAGTCTAAATATTTAGGCATCTTTAAAGCGTCACGTCGTAGACGCCACACAGGCACAGGACGAGAGTGCAGACAGAGGGCGGCCCGGGGAATAAAGGGGGGTGGGGAGGCTCCGGGGGTGAGGGCGGTGGTGGGTGGAGGGTGGCCCATGGGTGTGTGTGTGGAGGGCGGAGGGCAGAGGGCGGGCGGCCCCGGGGGGTGAGGGCAGTGGTGGGTGGAGGGTGGCCCGTGGGTGAGGGGGTGTGTGTGTGTGTGTGGAGGGCGGAGGGCAGAGGGCAGAGGGCAGAGGGCGGAGGGCGGAGGGCGGGCGGCCCCGGGGGGTGAGGGGGTGGTGGGTGGTGGGTGGCCCGTGGGTGAGGGAGGGGTGGTGGAGGGTGGATGGGCGGCCTGGGGGGTGGGGTGTGTGTGTGTGTGTGTGGAGGGCGGAGGGCAGAGGGCAGAGGGCAGAGGGCGGAGGGCGGAGGGCGGGCGGCCCCGGGGGTGAGGGGGGGGGGGGTGGAGGGTGGATGGGCGGCCCGGGGGGTGGGGTGTGTGTGTGTGTGTGTGGAGGGCGGAGGGCGGGCGGCCCCGGGGGATGAGGGGGGTGGTGGCGGAGCGCAGACGGGCGGCCCGGGGGGTGGGGGGTGGGTGTGTGTGTGGAGGGCGGAGGGCAGAGGGCGGAGGGCGGAGGGCGGGCGGCCCCGGGGGGGTGAGGGGGTGGTGGGCGGAGGGTGGCCCGTGGGTGAGGGGGGGTGTGGAGGGTGGGCGGCCCCGGGGGGTGAGCGGAGGGTGGCCCGTGGGTGAGGTGGGTGGTGGCGGGGGGCGGGCGGGCAGCCCGGGGGCGGCCGGATCTGCGAACGGAAGGGAATAATGGCTCCGCACACACGTGGGTAGCAGAAGTGCTGAGGGAAGCGGAGAAGGCGTGGCCAGACAAGCCGAGTCTTGGCCGCCGGTGTTTGAACAGATAACCAGGGAGGAGAACAAAGTAAACTCCGGGCGGAAGGGACATTCGGATCCTGTGGGAGCCGTTTCAGTGAAACGACAAAGTATCACTGCGGAGTCCGTGCTCCATCCCTTCCGGGGCCGTGGGCACAGAGGGTACAACTTAACAATGGAATTTATGCCCCCGGACGGCCCCCGCCCCCAAACCAACCGAGCTGCTTTCGGAATCAAATCTGCATCCCGCTGAAGGGAAAACTAACCCAACAAAAAGCAAAAGAGGGAAAACCTCCCGGATGCCATCCTTTCAGGGCCGCTTTCTAAAGGCTAATGTGTTCTCGCCCCATTTCAGGCTTTTTCACTGTGTTTGCTTTCCCCGGAAATGAGGTTACCCGCCTGCTGCTCCTGGGCCACAGCCTGCTCTGAGGGCGGCTGGTTCTCTCGCTGCCGTGCTCAGCAGGGAGGGGAACTGAGTCCCGAGAGGGCTGGGCTCAGGCTGCGAGCCCTGGTGGGTGTAACGTTCCGAAGAAATTGGAATCACAAAATTCTGTTTAAAAACATCAGGCTGACCCATCGGTTTTCTGCCTTCGGGACTGTATGCCAATTGTGTCCTGTGTGACGAGACCCCCTCGCTCAGCAAGCTCCGGGACCGTGTGTTTAAACACAAAAGGCATTCTTAAAGGCCAGGCCAGCACCCTCAGTGGCCCTTGGGAGCAATGGCTGTGACCTCCCTGCGGGAGGCAGCAGCAAACTCCCACCCTCTCGCCGGGTCCTGGACGCCCACCCAGGGCGTGCTGTGGCTTTAAAAACCAGCTCCCAGCCGAGACCGGTTTGGCTCAGTGGATAGAGCGTCGGTCTGCGGACGGGGCCGGGGGGCGGGAGAGAGAGGGGGTCCCAGGTTCGATTCCGTTCAGGGGCATGTATCAATACATTGGTTGCGGGCACATCCCCAGTAGGGGGTGTGCAAGAGGCAGCTGGTCGAAGTTTCTCTCTCATTGATGTTTCTAACTATCTCTCTTCCTTCCTCTCTGTAAAAAAATCAATAAAATATATATTAAAAAAAAAAAAATCAGCTCCCAGAGCCCTCGGTGTGGAGGCAAGGAGCTCATCTCCTAAAGGCGGGAAGGACACGAATCCCTCTCAAAGCCACAGGGACGGACTGAGAACCGGGACCGACACCTTCAGGGGAGCCCTGGCCGCCGTCCCCCGCGATCGCAGGTGGACCTGGGAATGGGCGCGGATGCTGGGCGGGGCACCGCCTGTCTCTCCACCCGTCCTGCCAACTTCAAAACGCCAGTCCCCGGGTGACCCAGTTTCCCCGGGAGATGGAGAGACGCTGTGTTAACCGGATGAGGCCCGCTGGCCACCCTAAAACCATCCTTCACTCAGCCCACATGTTGGGGCTTAAAGATGCCAGTGATTTCTTTCCATCCCCGCTTTGAAAAGCGAGGTGCTGGGGTCTGTGTCTGTGTGGACACAGCCCCACCTGGGGAGGGTCAGCCGACCGCAGCTCCGCTGCCCACATACTCTCGGACAGGACAGAGCAGGGCGAAGCTGCTCTTCCAGGCGCTCCCCTAGAGGGCACTCCAAAGCTGGCCGCTCTGTCAGCTTCCCAGCGGACAGGGACAGTCGTGTATAAAAATCAACAGGGGCCCTGGCCGGTGTTGCTGGCTGGTTAGCGTCGGCCCACACACCCACGGGTCTCAGGTTCGAGTCCTGATCAAGGGCATGTACCTCCCCATCCCTGATTGGGGTGTGTGCAACCAGTCCATCTCTCTCTCTCTCTCTCTCTCTCTCTCTCTCTCCCTCTCTCTCCCTCCCTCCTTCCATTTTCTCTGAAAAGCAATGAAAAAAAATATCCTCAGGTGAGGATTAACAAATAAACAAACAAACAAAACTGGGTAAATTGACCAAACCTTTCCAGATTTCAACGCTTGTTGGGACATGATAGGATAGTCTTGATGATCTAACAGTGACCTTAACCAGGCTTAGGTAAGATTACACACTTTTGATACCAATAAACGAATCTTCTATTTGCGTTTTTATTCAAGGAGGAGCTTTATGTGAATGGCTGTGGAATGTAACCAACGAGCACAGTTCAGTTTGCTAAGTTACAGCATGTGGTGGTTCCACTGGTGGCAGGCACTGGATACAAATGAGGACTGAACCCACCGCGCTCAGGGGTGGGGCGGGGGGTGTGGCCTTGGAAATAGTGATTAGAAGCTAGAAAGGCAACTTTTTGTTGTTATCTACAGACGCTGCGGGTTTCCCCGACTTCCAGTGACACAGCTGTAAACTGGCAGTTGGCAGCTTTCCACATAAAATGCCATCGGCAAGCGAAACTCAGTACCAGTCAAAGCTACCGAGGAATCCGGAGCGGCCGCGCCTCGCAGGCGGGCGGGCTGTGCGGGCGGCTCTCGGGCCAGGCCTTGAAGAACCGCCTGGAACAGTCACGGTAGCCGGGAGAAACACCTCCAATTGCTTTTAAACAGTTTTTTTAGAAAGCCGTATTAAATATAAGTCTTAGCACCTTTGGCATTTTTGTCCAAATAGACTTCGACGTAGGACGTGGGCACGTAGCCCTCTTCGTCTTCGTTCCTCCGAATGCGGGTCCACCCGTCCCCCTTGTCTTCCTCGATGACGTACAGCGTCTCTCCTTCCGTGACTGAGATGGTCCCTTCATTCTGGCCTGGAACGAGAACAGAACACGTGAGGCTTCTGGGCACAGGCGCCTGGCCAGGAAACAGGTGCAGGGACAGCAGAGGTGGGTCCGCAGGTGCCCGGCCCTGCCCCTTCCAGCAAGGCCAGGAGTGCCCCCTCCCGCCTGGCCGGGCCGCAGGGACTTCCCCAGGGTTAACCTTCCGTCCTCTCGGCTCCTCCAAATGTGTCCCTTACTCTCCCCTCCCCGCCACGGGCACTGCCTGCCTCTGGTCTTATATTCCTCTCTGGCCACCTGACCCCTGGGCTCAGCCCCGGCCCCACGCCCGATGCCCTGCAGCCCAGAGTTCTCTAAACGCCCGTGAGGAAGTGCCGCGGCCCCGGTGTGTTCCTCCCACCTGTCTGTGCGCCTCCCGGATGCGGGATCTGCCCCCCAGGCCTGGTCCCCGGGCCTCCCTCCCGTCTGTGCCCCGCCTGCTAGACACAACTCTGCTTTGTCCTCCGGGGTGGACGCCACACCCGTGCTGCCTGCACCCCACCCCCTGGGGAGTGTTCTCAGGACGGGAGCTCTGCCAGTGTGGGACGGAAGCAGGAAATAACCACGACTCCTACTCTGCCGCAGTCTCGGTAAGCCCCACGCAGGCTGCTCCGTTACAGGGAGAAAAAGGCAAAACACACAGCCAGCAGCCCGACGGGGACCACGGTCCCCGCAGGACAGAGGGCGGAGAGGACGGTCTGGGGCTGAGCAGAGAGAGAGGCGGCCACGGGCGGGGCCGGTGCGGACAGCTCAGGGGCCGGTGCGGACAGCTCGGGGGCCGGTGCGGACAGCTCGGGGGCCGGTGCGGACAGCTCGGGGGCCGGTGCGGACAGCTCGGGGGCCGGTGCGGACAGCTCGGGGGCCGCGGGGAGCTTGGCCGCGGGGCGTTACCGTCGAAGGTGTAGAGCGCCTTGCACGTCCCGATGGCGGGCAGCGGCTCCTCGTCGTCAAACTCGTCATCGAAGTCCGTGGCCAGCACCTTCACCTCGCTCTCCTGGCTCTGCTCCTCCGTGTAACTGCCATCCGGGCTGCTCAAGAAAGAAAGCACACGGCAACTATAGCGACCGAGCCGGAGGGTGCCGCCGCCGCCCGCCCGTCCGCCCGCGGTGCGGCCCGGAGCTGGCAACGGAGACCATCTCAACGGGTCCCCGCGGAGCCAGAGTATGATGGGAGCACACAGCCCCCTCAGAGGCGCTGGGATCTGAGTGAGGCTCCGTCCAGGATGGAGGAGCCGGGGCGGGGCGGCGCGGATACTGTACCTCTCCCGGGCCTGCGCGCAGTTGTTGACGGCCGGGGCGGGCTGGGCGTCGTACAGGCCGCTCTGCCTGCGCTGCTCGCCGCGGGCCGGGAGCCTGCCCTCCACCTCCGCCAGCCAGGCCTGGAACGAGAGCCACGGGAGACCGGCTGAGCCCCCCAAACCTGGAAGCCGGCTCGGCGGCTCTGGGCAGAGGCTGATGGAGAGGGACAGGGGCAGGGCCCCCACATAACAGACTCCGGGGCTCCGTTCCTTCCCGAGGCGGAAGTGGAAAGAGCATACGTAGGCAGCTGTCCCCGCGGGCAGGGGGCCTGGACCCTGTCCAACCCCGGGCTGCGAACAGCTGTGTGGCTTGGGATAAGTCACTTCTGGTTCCTTCTGTTCCCAAACTCTGTGACCTGAGGTCACACTGGGAAGCATGGGGAACTGACTCAGTTTGAAAGCCACACTTCCCTTCCCGCGGTTTTTCGGGAGGGTCCTGAGCGAAGAGAAGTGTGTCCACAGCAATCAGCGTGGACAGTCACCTTCGGCGGCATTTGAACTAGTGCCCGTTCACGAGGCAACAGCTTTTTCTGTCTTTTTTCTTTTTTCTTTTTAAAGGTATCTTTCTCTCTCTCTCTTTTTTCCTTTTTCTCTTCCTTCCTAATTTTTAATAATTCCTTATCGCTGCACATATTACAGATGTTCCCTTCCCCCCCACTGAGCCCCTCCAGCCCTCCCTGCCCCGCCCCAGGCCCTCAGCACCCTGTTGTCTGTGGCCACGGCCATGCACACATGCACACAAGGTCTTTGGTCGATCACCTCCCCTCCCCTCCCCCCAACAGCCTCTTCGTACCTCAAACTTCTGGGCCTCGAGCCGCAGCTTGTCAATGTTCTGGATGACTTCGGTCAGCTTGTGGTCCAGACTGGCGGGGTCTCCCATCTGAGGGTTCTTCAGGTACACGTCTTTCATCTTGGTGATGGCCTCTCTGGAAAAGCGAGCAGACGGAGGGGGAGGCTGAAAACCACGTGACCCGCAGCCGGGCTGGGAGCGTGGGTGGAGGGAATATCCGGGTCCGCACTCCAGAAACGTCTCCTTAGGAAAGAGCCCTGCTCCCCGGTGTATCATCCAGAGGCCGGCGTTAACACGCAGCTGCCCCTCGGGATGGGCTCCCCGTCTGCAGCAAGACGTGTAAGTCAATCCAAACAAAACCCAAACTTCCACGCGGGAATGCGCCTGCAAACCGAAGCTGCCTCGGCCTCGGGCCCTGCGGGCTGCAAGATGTTCACGTCACGAAGAAGCCCGGCTAGTCGCCTTGGAAATGTGACTTCACACTATTTCAACTCTTAGGACATGGAACCTGGCCTGGCCCGCATGGCTCGGTGGCTGAGCATCCACCCATGAACCAAGAGATCACGGTTCGATTCCCGATCAGGGCACACGCCCATGTTGTGGGCTGGATTCCCAGTGTGGGGCCTGCAGGAGGCAGCCCATCAATGGTTCTCTCTCATCATTGATGTTTCTATCTCTCTCTCCCTCTCCCTTCCTCTCTGAAGTCAATAAAAATATTTAAAATAAAAAGGAATGGGACCCACAGTTGGTATCCATGGCAGGTGGGCCACGGGGGCTTGAGGCCGCATTCTGTGGTCCCCACGCCTTCCCGAGACCGTGCTGGGGAGCCCACACCGCAGCCTGCTCGCGGGGCCTGGACGCACCAGGCCTGGACGCACACACGCTCGGGCTCCGGCTCTGTCAGCTCCGAAGGGCTCGGGGAACTAGGCCTGGCTTAGGGGGCTCTCAGTGGGGCTTGAGTGGTTAGAAGTTTAGAGCAACGAGAAATCTAAGCCAATGACACAAGATGAACAAACCAAACTGTCTGAGCCATGGGCAACAGTTTAAGAGAATGTCGGCGACCCTCACCACCCCCTGCCCGCTTCCTCGCAGCTCAGCCCGTGTCTTGCCTGCTCCCTCCGCACCCCCGCCCCGCACCCCTCCAAGGCCATCTCCCCATTGGAGCCCTCGGCCCACTGCACCGCCAGCCCCTGACCGGCTCTCCTTCCTTTTCCTTCACAGCACGTGCCATTCCCGACATCACATCATCTGCTTCCTGCTTCCTGTCTGTTTCTTCCCACTGGAGAATGGGGAGCCGTACAGTGGGGCCGGGCAGCGCCTCCTCAGAGCCAGGGCACACTGACGCCCCGAGGGCCGGGCTGTGTCTAAGACACACTGTGATTTGTCTTCTGGGCCCCCTCTGTGCGCTCCCCATGGGGATGAGGCTAGCTGTGACTTACCGTGAAGCAGGAAGACACGGATGTTCTGGACCCAACGCTAGGATGTGGGGCAGGGAGAGGGTGGGGTCACTTTTCTCATCCTCATTTGTACAATATAAAAAAGCTCACTTACGCTCTCACACCATAAAGGAGATAATCCTACATAGTTTGTCCCCCAAACTCAGAATAAAACCTCCGGATAAAAGCACCCTCCGGTTTGTAACAGAGCAGCCCAGGAGGCCAGGCAACACGTGGCTGGAACTAGCGCTTCTATTAAAATCCAGGACTTCCTGTCTTTCCAAACTGAACTCGGATTTCTTAACGACCCACTCTACCTTTGGTCCATCTCCTTCTGCATCTCCTTATTTAACTCGTCCACCTTCTGCTGGAGCTTTTTCCTCCTCTGTTCGGGCGGCAGGTTGCTGAAGTCCTCGGGCGCCGCGCCCTGCAGAGCGAACAGAAACACCCGGAGAGGCCGGTGGGTGGGCCTCCTGAGCACAGCGGGCGGCGGGCGGCCCCCAGTCACCGGGCGGGCGGGAAGTAAGCCCAGGCCTTTCCCACGACACCAGCATCCCGCATGCAGACCAGGCCCCAAGCCCTACGCTCCGGCCCGCCACTCCCAAAGGCAAGAGCGAGGCTGCAGGGGGAGGGCGGGGGAAACGCTCGGACTCGGGGAGAATCCAGACAAGCCTTAGCTAAGACTTTGTCGGGGGCCACACTGAAGTCCAAGGCCGTTTCAAGTTCAGGTTTCGTCACAGAACACAGGGCCTGTCGCAGGCACTGCTCCCGAGTCTGAGTCCTGCTTCCCATCTCTCCCCAGACCCAGGCTGAGGCCAAAGTCCCCATCCCCGAAGTGACAGGGACAGCGGGTTCCCCAGAGAATGTGGGTGGAAGGTTTAAACGGAAAACAAACCCTCCCTCCCCCATGCACTCTTGGCCCTCGGCCTCTAGAGGTCCGGACAGGCTTTGGGCCATCCTGAGGGAACCTCGGGACATTCCTCAGAGCCAGCCCTGCAGGGTGTGGAGCCGCCTCAGCTGCTCTCCTCCGTCTGAGCGTATTTTCGCATCTTGATTCCCTCCAAAAACAACCGCCGTCCTTCCTCTGAGCAGGCGATTTCAGTGGAAAACACCAATGGAGAGAGCGTCTAGACTCTAGAGTAGGGGTGTCGAACTCAATCAGAGAAGGGGCCAAAATCTAAAATCCAGCCTAAATCGCGGGCCGAATGGTTTACTGAACAGTCATAAACTGTCATTGTGATGGAAACGCAGCGGAGTGCAGTGATGACAGCGCGGTGCGGGCCACATTGCAAGGCCTGGCGGGATGGATTTGGCCCGCGGGCCTTGTGTTTGACACATGTGCTCTAGACTGACACATGCTCGCTGGTTAGAAGCTCGGTGATGGTTAGCAAGTTCCCTCACTTAAATGGGGCAATTTCCATAAAGAGAGAGAGGTTTATTCGCTGCCCAGGGCTAAGCCAAGGGATGGAGACAAGAGTTTCCTCTGGAACCAGTCACACCGAGGCAGGGCGGCTGGGGGAGCGGGTGGGACAGAAGGGACCCGGATAGTGTCTCTCCCGAGACCAGCTGGGTCTGCCGAGCGCCGGGCACGGGGGCTTGTGACCCGGGCTCCCAGGCTGCCAGGCTGCGGGCTGCCAGTGTGTGACCCGGCAAACAGTACGGCACCAGGGCACACAAAGGCGGGCGTTCTCAAAGCCATGTGCGGGTGCGTGTGTGTGCGTGTGCATGTGCGCATGTGTGTGTGTGTGTGTGGGGGGGAGTAATAAGATGTAAGACCACAATGGAAGTGACTTCCCTAATGCCAAACCAAGGATCCCATGCGCCTCTAAAACTAAAGGGAAGCAAACTAACGTCCATATGAAAACAGACCGGCTGTTTTCCCTTCCTGCACCACCTGCCATCACACCTGAAACCCCGCTTTTCAATCTGCACAATCCCATCGCTTCCGCGAGCTCAGCGGCTTGTTCTTGGGCCAATTTACGTGAAGCCCATCAGCACGTGCTCTAGAAGCGAGGTCTGCGCTGTTTGCTCTGTCTCGTTCCTCCACAAACACAGGGTGGGACCCAAGGCCTCAGAGGGCGGGGCCCAGCAAGGGGTCGCCCAGAGGCTGAGGACAGCATGAGCCTCCTGCTGTGCCGAGGTTGCAAATGGCCCGCACGGGAGCCACGCGTGGCTGCTGAGCTGGTGGAGGGTGGCCAGTGCAACTGCAGAACTGAATTTTAAAATCTTATTTCATTCTGATTAGCTAAGATTTAAAGAGCCCCGTATGTGAGTGGCCACGGGTCTAGATGAACAGATGCAAGACCTGCACGGGGGTGTATGTGTGTGTGTGTGTGTGTGTGTGTGTGTTATTCGAGAGAGAGAACAGCTGCAGGGACTGTGTAAGCAGCACACACTGCGCTGTGACTTCCAGGAATGAGTCCGTGGATTCTTCCCGGCGGGTCAGCGTCAGTCCAGCTGAGCCCTGAGGGCCCCTCAGTAGATGGCCTGCGCTTCCGTGTTATTCCTTAAAACGAACTTCGGTCACCATGGCTCCCATGCGCTGCCATGAAGGCTCAGGCCGAAGCTGCTTCTAGGTCCGGCGACACAGGGTTCCCGGGAAACCCTAGCAGGGCCTTCTGCCCAACGAGCCTTCTGAAGCTGGATTTCCTCACACAACACCCTGACCGACGGCTGCGGTGGCCACGAAGGCCGAGTTGTCACCGTTGTCACGGTCCACAGGTCAGGGTGTTGTTTGAGCGTGTAACCTACACGCCTCTGAAGTGCAGCTGTGGGCTGTGCTGGCTAAGATTCTCTTTTAACACGTGGAATGGTTAGCTTTGTTCATGGGGGCTGCACAAGTGAGAAACAACACGACCCTGAGTCCCTCGGTGGCCTCCCCAACCAGCTGAGCACAGGCACCAGCGCATGGAAGCGGCGCCTGCGAGAGTCCCGGCCTCCGTCCGCGGCCGCTCAGACCCGGGTTTGAGCCTGGCGTCGTCCCTGCGTCTGCCGTGGGCTCTGTGGCTCTCAGGGAGGAGCATCTTACAACGATTCCATTTGCTTTTATCCTAAAGGAGCCAATAGGTAGACTCCCGCACTCCATGTGTACGTTCGTATGTAAATAAAGAACATGCGTCATCGTTTTTAAGGCTCTGATAGTAAAAGAAACAGACACCAAAATAGCCGAAATCATGAGTTAAGCGTTAATTTTCTTAGCAACTGGGAAAGATGGAGATCTGTTAGGGGACCTATTAGATTCTCAGCCTTCGCGCTATGAGGTCGAACAGAGACAGAGCCACGCAGCGCACACAGGAGAAGCACAGGCCGGAGGGAACGGCGGCGACAGGAGGCATGGGGCGGGCACCCGGAGGACACACAGGGGGACCTGGTCAGACCAGGGCATGCAGGGACAATCGTGCTTACCAGCTTGAGAGAAAGCTTCATGGACAAGTTCAAGGGGGTGACGGGGAAAGAGAGAAAGAGAGAACACATCAGAAGGAGAGGTACGTGGTCAGCCCCACCGTTCACATCGCAAATCCACCTGCCGCCGTGGGAAGGGCGTGGAGCGGGTCTGTGCCAAGTTCCCGAGAGGGGCCGGTCCCCACGGCTGCCCCTCGGCTGCCGTGTCGCTGAAGCAGAGTACAGAGGGGAAGGCAGGGTTTCCGTTTGTGGTGCTGTGCGGGCCCCGTGAGCCCGGAGAGAAATGAAATCAGTCTGGAGTCGCTGGCCGGTAGCCCTCATACAAGACAGCCTTCTGTCCCCCAACCTGCTGCAGGCTCCCCGACATGCAGCTGTACGTCCACGTGACGGAAATCTGGTAAGTAGGGACATGGGCGTTTCTTACGTAGGCAAACTCTCAGGCCGCCGAGCAGCAAACCAAGGGCTGGAAGCTGCTCTGGGCAATGGCCTCGGGAGCCAGAAAGCCTGAGCGCCAGGCCCAGCGCCCCCCGGAGAGGCGGGGGGTCACAGGCTGTCCATCGACGGAGCCCTGCCCACAGCAGGCACGGAGCACTTGGGTAAGGTGACCAGACGTCCCGCTTTTGGCGGGACAGTCCCAATTTTTAACAATTTGTCCCGCGGCGTTTTAAAAAAGTCCCGATTTTTGGAAAGATTCTTTTAAATCTTTTGGACTTTTTTAAAACGCCGTGGGACGCGGGGCAAATTGTTAAAAATTGGGACCGTCCCGCTGGTCACCTTACACTTGGGGAGTTAGCAGGAGCAGCTGCTCGAAAATGTTAGCTTGGGAGCCAGACAGCCACCGGGCTCCACAGCCAAGGCCACTCCTGGCCGGGGCCTCCGGGCATCAGCCTGCAGCTGCAACCCTGCGGGGCCGGAAGGTGAGCAAAGGTGTAGGGATCACTGGGCCCCAGACGGACAAAAAGGTCTCAGAATTCGGAGAAGAAACACCTCGTTCTGCATTAACAGGCGAGGCCCGCTCTGTGGCCACAAAGCCAACCTGGCAGGTCGGTGCCCAGGAGCCGCTGCCAATCCCAGAGGCTCAGGCAATGGGGAGGGGGACCCAAATCTACCTCGGAGATGAAGTTTGGAGGAAAGTGCCCTTTGCTTTTCCGTTAGGAGGAGGGAGGGGGTTCAGATTCCCCCACCGGATTTAGCAAGTCTCATTCTTAGGACAAACTCCGAGTCTGCACGTCTTTGTCACAGGCCGAGCCCTCAGAGACCGTCTGCAGCGGGAAACGCAGTCCTCTAAGGGAGGAGGCTGCGAGACAGAGCTGGGGGGCGGCGGGGGCCAGTGCAGACAGCCGTGGCCGTTCTCTGGGCAGCGACGGCGGCTGGAGCCCCTCCTGTGAACTTGGCACAGACCTGCTCGTCACAGTTTGAGTTCTTTGCAGACAAGGCTCATGGCGCCCAGCGGGAAATGCTGCAAATGCCTTCCCTGCGGAGCACACGGCCGGAGACGGATGTTTCTCGCACATTCCCACCCGACACCGCTGCCCCACAGAGCCTGGGATTGGAGGTCGGAACTTCCGCTATCTGCTCTCTATTTAGCTAGTTCTGTTTTTTAAAGTTACACAGTCTTTCTGAAGCATTCTAAAATACGGGATCCTGCCTGGGCCAAGCTGGCTCAGTGGATAGAGCGTTGGCCCTGGCACCGAAGGGTCCCAGGGTTCGATTCTGGTCACACACCTCGGTCGCATGTTCCCCAACCCTGGGCTGCAAGCAGGAGGCAACCAATCAATGTGTCTCTCTCACATCGATGTTTCTCTCTGTCTCTCCCTCTCCCTTCCACTCTCTCTAAACATCAATGGGGAAAATAACCTCTGGCGAGGATTAACAAAAATAAATAAGTTAAATAAATAAAGGACGGGACCCTAACACCAAAACAAATAGCCTGAGAATATTACCACTTCCTAATAACAAGCCGTTAGGATTGAGAATAAATCCCAGGAGCAATAGGAAGTGCCAAATTCTGGGACATGTTCCATTTTCCAGCCCTCACAGTGTTTGCCGCTGCTTTGGACGATGAGGAACCGGTTCTCGGCTTTACGCTGTAAGCCAGCCAGTTAGAGCTTTTGCGATTAGAAGCCGAACCACCTGCTAAGGGGACGTTTTAAAGGCTGTCAGTGTCAGGCGGCAGTTATGGAGCCTGGGAGGCAGGAGGTCAAGGGCACAGAGAGCTAGCGCATCCGCGTTGCCGGCAGTCACAGGTACCAGGCAGTCACAGGTACCAACCGCAAGGACCACAAAGGGGACCGCGGGATAAACACCGGAGCAAGGTGTGCGAGGGCCACAGAGAGTCCGTCCGCTCCTCCGTGACCTTGGGCAGGCTTCACGGATTTCGGGGCTCTCCAAGCTTTATGGGTGACTCCCTTAGGGTTCATCTGTTTCGGGTGTGGAGTGGGTGACCGGGCCACACCACTGCCATCTGGAGAGGGTCCTCCTCCGTTGACCATGCTCCGCAGCTGCGTTTTAGGGGGGAAATCCTGCCGTAACGCCTTCTCGGGGTGCGGTCACCCTCCATGGAGGGGGGGAACCAAGCTCCGCTGACGGACAGTGTCAGGAAGTCTGGTTGTTACCGGGGAGTTTGGTTCCTTTTTCCGGGGGAAGGAGCCCGGGGTTGAGTTTATACAATTAGGCTTTTTTCTCCCCAGTGCCCGGGTGGCTCAGGTGAGAATGTCATTTCTTGGTGGAAGCCTGCCAGACGCACCGGGTCAGTCCCCAGGCTGGGTGGTGGCGATGGGGTTAGTGCCTGCGCCGTGACTGCGGGCCTGGCCGTCACACACACTTACAATGTGGTCCCTAGCTTCAAACGCAAACGTGCGTCTCCCTATGGTCCTCTTCGTGAGTTCTTTGTGGAAACAGAAAGACTGAGTCTGCCAATGACCAGCAAGAGAGCACAACACAGTGAATAAAACGGAAGTAGCCATTAGACTGTAACATCTGACCAACCATGGATAAGGATCTTCAAAATCATTTGAGCAATTTTGGTGGCCTTTTCCCATATAATTAACTCTAAAACATGGGACAAAATGGTCCGCACTTTAGAAGTCCTTTGCTCAGACCGAAAAAAGAAATTCTAATTTAAGACAAAAAAAATTACACTTTGTAGATTGCAAATGGAGAATATACTCCCAAGGGTAGAGATGAAATAATGGTTAATAATAACGCTCAAGCCAAAACCGGTTTGGCTCAGTGGATAGAGCATTGGCCTTCGGACTGAAAGTTCCCAGGTTCGATTCCGGACAAGGGCGTGTACCTTGGTTGCAGGCACATCCCCAGTAGGGCGTGTGTAAGAGGCAGCTAATCGATGTTTCTCTCTGATCAATGTTTCTAACTCTCTATCCCTCTCTCTTCCTCTCTGTAAAAAATCGATACAATATATTTAAAATAATAATAATAATAATAATAATGCTCAAGTGGTATGCCAGTCTTTAAAGATGTTCAATGAACCAACATTTTCTTACAACTGTCACCGACTTACAACAAAAAGGACTTTATCTTGTCTAATTCTTTAGAAACAACTTCGGCTCAGAAGTGTGTGCACAAGATTTATACATTCTGGTCACAGAAACTGCTTCAATCTGGGTCTGAAAGCAGCAAGCAGGATAAAGTAAAAGACACTGAAATCACAGGCGTGTTATCTCCTAGGATGCTTTTCCTGTCTGGGCACCATCATCTTAAAAAAAAATAGGATAAACAAAACTGCAGCAAGGACTGTGTCACTTCAGTCATATGTCTTCTGAAATTGTTCTGAAATTGCTTAAAGATCAAATTAATTCCCCCAAACCTCAGATTTGTTTTTCGCTTTGAATTTCCTAATCCCACTTCTATAATCTATTTCCTTTATCTTTTCTCCTTCTCCTTTTGCTTTCTGTTTTGGCACTGCTACTTCAGATTGGAAGGGACATCCAATCTGACCCGACTAAGACAGAGAAACAAAAATGTGTGTGTGCAAAAGAAAAGACACTCACCATTGAGGGAAGTTCTGAACAGAGGTTTGCTGAGCATAGAATTGAGGGGGGAAATAAAATTCACTGTGCTAATTATGGTTTTAAAAAAAGAGAGAGGGAGCCAAGACCGGTTTGGCTCAATGGATAGAGCGTCGGCTTGGGGACTGAAAGGTCCCGGGTTCGATTCCGGTCAAGGGCATGTACCTTGGTTGCGGGCATATCCCCAGTAGGGGGTGTGCAAGGGGCAGCTGATCGATGACTCTCTCTCATCGATGTTTCTAGCTCTCTGTCTCTCTCCCTTCCTCTCTGTACAAAATCAATAAAATATTTAAAAAAATAATAATAAAAAATAAAAAAAGAGAGAGGGAGAGAGGAAACTGCCTCAGTTTTCTTATTTGTCAGCAGAATAACCTGAGGAAAGTAAATGAGCGTGGAGAAGAGTCTGGCATGGAATAAGCGCTCAATAAACCTCGGGGGCTGCTCCTTCACCTTTTAAAGATAAATGCCGCCTCGGGCCTTCTCCAGGCAGACATTCTCTCGAAGTTTTACCAACATCTCCTCCGGCCAGACATTCTAACAGGAGTTTTACCAACATCTCCTCCGGTCAGACATTCTCCCGGAAGTTTTACCAACATCTCCTCCGGCCAGACATTCTAACAGGAGTTTTACCAACATCTCCTCCGGTCAGACATTCTCCCGGAAGTTTTACCAACATCTCCTCCGGCCAGACATTCTAACAGGAGTTTTACCAACATCTCCTCCGGTCAGACATTCTCCCGGAAGTTTTACCAACATCTCCTCCGGTCACCAGAAGAGCTGAAGACCACTGGGACCCGCGTCTCCCCATCGGACCGAGAGGCAGGGCTCAGAGACCGTGTCCTTGTCACCCTCCGTCCCTTCAGTGATTAATCATTAAGGAACTATATCCCGACTCCATGGCGACTTCCAATTCCTCATCTCACAAGGCGCTAACTTTGGCAACTGAACCTTGAGCTTCCTTTTTTTTTTGGTGAAATATTAATGACTTGAATGTTTTAAAAGGGAAGTGGAGAAAAGTCCTTCTGGAATGTACTGAAGACAGAACTGGGGACTGGATGGCTCCCTCCAGCCGCCCTGCTTCCTTCCTCCTCTTTTCCTCCTCTTCCTCCTCTCCCTAACCGCCTGTCTTGAGCCACAGGTCCTGACGGCTCCCCGTCGTGGGAGAACACAGCGAATCCATTCACAGACAAAATAAGTGACGCCGAGCGAACCATGCAACCGGAGCCCACGCGGGAGACAGGGTGCGGGCAGGACTTACCCCTCGCTTTAGGCTCCTGAAGCAGTGGATTTTGGGTTTGGAGGTCATGAACTCGTTGAAGCGATGGGAGAGGGGTTCCTTTTGCTGCTTGGGAGACTGGGGGCCGTTGGGAACAGCAGAGGGTGAGGCAGAGGCAGGGGGGGGAGGGGGAGGCTGATGGGGGGATGTTAAGAGGGACATAAGCTATGTGTGAGAGATGGAGCAGTGACAGTAAACATCAGAGACAAGAAGATAAAGACACAAAACAAAAATAAGCATCAAATAATATTTGAGATCCAAAAGCAAGTCAAACACAAACAATTACATAATTTAGGCCATGGTCCAAAAGAAAACATGGAGGAGGCGCCAAAGTGAAGGACAGGATGAGAGTGCGGGTTTTAGTAAGTAATGCAAGAGAAGAACAGCAAGAAATCTCTGACAAGCAGCCCATGCGGACTCTCACATGCAAATTACCGTTCTAACCAATTACTCTAAACCGGGGTGAGCCAGAAGGGTAACCGTCTGAAACCACCCAGACTTACACAGCAGGATGGGAGAAAACGGAAGGCCTTAAATGCTAGGGTTGGGAAAACAGCAAGGTAATTTTGTTGTCGTTTTTTTAATTAAAGAGTCAACATTCTACGGGGAAAGCAGTCATGTTGCCTCGATCGTATGTTAAGCCCCGGTTAATGCCGCCATGCACCTACGTGTTACACTATAAAAGAACGGAACATGTTCATGGATCCGCGTGTTAGCATGAGTTCACAACCGAGCTACTGGCCCACGGAAACCGTGCAGTTAGCGGTGCCGATCGATGGTTACAGAGCATCTGCCCTGCTCTGCCCACATGACCGGCGGCCCGAGGAGCGAGAGGCATGATGGGAAATGGTGAGGCCAGGCACCTGTTAGTGTGGGTGACAATGCGTCTGAGCTTGGACAAATGGCCATGGCAAAGGTCCGCCACCAGAGAGAAGACTGCTTTCAGAGAAAAGAGCACACTGGCCTTTTTTTTTTTGTGGCATTCAGAAGCTACAGGTTTAGAATCCTAGTATTTTCTTTTTTTTAAGACTAAACGATAAAATCAAAATCTACACACTTGATCACACTCATTCGCACCATGTACCAACCGCCAGTACCTTGTTTTTCTTGATGAACGGCCACAGCTTCCCTTTGGGTTTGCCCCCGAACTTGGGCTCCGCTTTGCTGTCGGCTCTGGAGTTGGAGAGGCTGTTTTCCGACACCGTGCGCTTCATGGGCTGCGTGTAGTCCTCAAATTCGATGTCTCCGGGCGGCTCGAACCCTGACTTGTAAGCCTCTATGACCAGCTGCGAGTCCTGGAATTATACCCAAACACATTCAAATACTTATAAATTAAGGTGACCAGATGTCCCGATTTTTAACAATTTGTCCCATGTCCCAGGGCGTTTAAAAAAAAAAAAAAAAAAAAAAAAAAGTCCCGAAAACACCGCGGGTCGCGGGACAAATTATTAAAAATCAGGACTGTCCCCAAAAGCGGGATGTCTGGTCACCTTAATGTAAATGCTTTTTACACAATGAATTGTGTTTACTGCATAGATGTTATTCTCAGGAAGCTACATTAGTTCATAACAAACATTTTTCTAGTAATAGTTTTATCATTAGAAAGAAAGAATAATTCGTGCCGAAATTATTGGCTCAGGGGATAGAGCGGCGGCCTGTGGACTGAGGGGTGCCAGGTTCGATTCCGGTCAAGGGCATGTACCTTGGTTGCAGGCACATCCCCAGTAGGGGGTGTGCAGGAGGCAGCTGATTGATGCTTCTCTCTCATTGATGTTTCTAACTCTCTATCCCTCTCCCTTCCTCTCTGTAAAAAAATCAATAAAAGATATTTAAAACAAAAAAGATTCAGTGGTGATGGGAAAATGGAAGGGGGCTCAAAACATGGAAATCCCGGAGAGCGTGGAAGCAGCTACTGTGGACGCTGGGAGCCATGGCCTGTCACGAGAAGGCTGCACGAGGGCACCTGCGATACTCACAGTTTTCCCATCAATGCCCTCGGCCGCCTTCACTATTCCATCCAAGCACTTCCCGATGATGGGAATCACCTGCCGGTCGACTTCTGCATAGGTCTTCATGGATTCTCCGAGCCTCACTATCCTCTGCTCCTCCATCTCCTGTATTTTCTGTAACACCAGATGTTGTGTGAAATTCACCTGCCCGCTGCTGTCATGGAATGCTGCTGCTTTTCAGCAGCAATGCGAGCGTGGGCCACTGTCCAGTAAGCAGACAGGCCCACAGAGGGGCTAGAGTTAGAGTATTTAAGGGTATGGCTCCTGGGCACACATTTTATGAACCGGAGGGCTGCCCAAATGTGTGCCTTACACAACTCCACTCCTATTTCAGCCAGAATCCCAAACTCAGGTTCTTTCGGTGTTAACACCACTTGGCATTCGATTTCCAACGTTTCCTTCACCTTGGACCCACTGCTTTACCCTTTGCCAAAAGCAGGGCATTGGGGTAACTGGGCTGGGACGTAATCAGCGCAGCTTCCTCCCGCGAGGTGGGGGGCTCTTGGTCCCTTGTGTGCAGATGCTATGATTAAGGTGACCAGACACCCTGATTTTTAACAATTTGACCCGCGGTGTTTTAAAAAAAAGTCCAGATTTTCCCACCAGATTTTTAACAATTTGTCCCGCGTCCCATGGCGTTTTAAAAAAGTTCCGATTTTTGGAAAAATCAAGACTTTTAAAAAGCCATGGGACGCGGGACTAATTGTTAAAAATCGGGACTGTCCCGCCAAAAGCGGGACGTCTGGCCACCTTAGCTATGAAGCACTACTGTTTTTTTCTACAACTGCACTCGAGGCTGTAAAAGATTCCCCAAGTGACTGGACATGTGTATATATTTCTTGTTTTGTTTTATGGCTTAAATACCTTTTCTCATGCCGTTTTTGAAAACATAAATGAGGAGTCAAAAGAAAAACAATTCGAACAACTGTCACCTGTTCAAATCCTACACCTACGAATGCTAATTGATTCCTAAAGTTAAGCTGGCTTATTTTTTTGGGGGGAGGAGGGGGAGGCGGTAAACCGGAAGGTCCTTTTAGCAAAGGGAGAGTTAATCTAAGAAACACAGTGCTAGGCTGTAGGGGCAAACCAAGGAAGCTAGCAAGGCTACTGATGAATATTGAGTAAGGTGATCAGACATCCCGCTTTTGGCGGGACAGTCCCGATTTTTAACAATTTGTCCCACGTCCCTCGGTGTTTTTAAAAAAAAGTCCCAATTTTTGAAAAGAATCTTTCCGCGGGACAAATTGTTAAAAATTGGACTGTCCCGCCAAAAGTGGGATGTCTGGTCACCTTAATATTGAGACGGACAGTTTCCTTCGTTTTACTGCGAGTCCACGTTTGTCAGAAGGCTCCCCAAAATGACGTGGGTGAGAGGAAACGGAGAATCATATGAATAACTTAGACTGGAACCAGCAGCCACGACCCAGAGCCACACGTTCCTTAAAGAGACAGGCGCACCTGGAATATGTTGGGAATGTGAGTGTGGTAATAGTCGCGCTGCTCATGGTTGAATTTCTGAAGATTCGATGAGTAATCAGCTTTGCTGTCCTCTGCCATTTGGTGCCGGATTTGAGCTTGTTGTCGTGCCTGGGGGCAAAAATAAATAAATAAATAAATAAAAAGAATATCTCCATGTTTACAGAGACCGAGTGAAAGCCTAGAATTGCGAACTGGAGAGCTGGGCTCAAATTTACCTCGAAGGTGATGTATTCAGCAGGTGCTATATTTTTAAAGATTACAGTTTACAGTGCACATGATTTTGTGTCTGTGCCAGGGGTACAGCATAGTGGTTAGACAGTCATATACTTTACAAAGTGTTTCCCGGATATTTCGTACCTACGTGGCACTTCACACAGGTATAACGATATTATTAACCATGTTCCAAATGCCGTGCTTTACATCCCCAGGAGTTCTGTAGCTACCAATTTGCATCCTCATTTTTTACTTATTTAGGTAGGAATATGTGCTCTACTGTGTCACAAACTGCGACCCTCCATGTTGTCTTTACTTGGCATTCCTGTCTAGGGAGACACCAGAATCAGCATTCTTTCTCACCTGCACTTGCACTTGGCCAGATTCACAGCTTTATGTCACCTGGATGGCCCTTGTAAGAACATCTGTGTCCATAAATATATGACATGACATTACACACACACACACACACACACACACACGTTTTCTTCTTAAGGAGGGGGACAGGAGAGAATCCATACATTTTTAAATTCAATTCTCAGCGGGGTTCCTGAATGAAAGGGGCACAGGAGCCATGACCGTACTCTCTGACCCTCCCCACACTCGTCTGTCTTCCCCTTTGAAGAAGCAGTGAGCTGCACCCTCCTGGCGCTCTGTATGTCTGTGTGTGGATGCTGTTTGTGGGCTTCCTCCCTCCTAAACCATCAGTAATAAAACTCACACCTGTGTTCCCTCTTCTCACTCACACTTTGGTTTCTCACATGCCTACAGGAAAGGGGCACGTGTTGGCATGTTACAGAATGGATGTCAAAGCTCCAGTCAGTACGTGTGTACACGTCAAGTCACCCCCAGATACCAGGGGTGGTGAGGCTGGCAATCGGTCCTCCGCGCACCCAGCACCCGGAGGGTCCCCAGCCAACACGCTCAGGAGCACCGCCCGCGGCCAGAGGAAGGGAGGCTTGGCGGGCCACTGACCTGGCCAGCATGCCACCCGGAGCCAGCACACCACAGGAAAAGGGCTTGTTCCACATCCCCAAGGCAGCTTCTTGTGTTTGCTTTTGCCTTGTTTTATGAACCCAACGGTTAAAAACAAAAAAGAAAAGGAAAAGGAAAAACAGGGCCGTTCAAACGTAACCCCGAGAAGACACGTGGGGGCTGATGGCGATAGCATCTCCGCGGGCGCTGGCACCGCAGTTCACGCTGGTTTCCTGCCGTGACGGGAAGGCTGGCCTGGTTCTCACTTCCTGACCCTGACTCATAGGGCCCTGGGGAGCCAGGGTGGTCGCTGGGCTGGGAGAGGCTTCCTCTGTCCTCTTCCCCATCCACACAGACACGCTACCTGAACCCAGCAGCGCCACACGGTTTCCTAGGGCCTCAGGGACCTCAGAACCACCATGTGTATTCCTCACCTCCCCTGGCATCTCAGCTGCCACTCTCTCTTAGTCCGCCACCACCCTCTGCCATCCTGACCATATGCTGCGCTTGGCTTCCGCTTCACTGTGTCTCAGTAAACACATCACCCGGCCCCGGCAGGCTAAGTGCCCAGCTACCCTGACAACCCCACGCCCTCCTCCTAGATCCTTCCTCACCCGCAAGCACCCCATCTGTCCCTCTCAGGCCAGCCGCACGGACCCGCTTTACCCTCCCAGTACCGGGCCTTCACCCTCACAGCTCTGTTACGAATATGGAAAAGCACAAGGGAATTCCCAGGCAGGCCTCAAAGGTCTAAAACAGTCTCTGTTTCATTCAGGAAAAGACACAAAAACCCCGGGGTGGGAGGGCTCATCGGTTCTGTGAACAGAAGGACCAGCCAGAGGGCGGAGAGTCCCGGGCTGGTTTTGGAGAAACGATTCTACCTGGGTGACTTTTTGCAATATCTTAGTCTGACACAGAGATCAGTATGTCATTATTATATATAGGGCGTCCCTTCCCCACCAAAAAAAAAATGCATACAAACTTAGAATACAGCTATAAGTTATATTTACTAAAATGCATTTCATTTAACAGCTATTAGCTGAAAGTGTATATACATTTTTTTTTGGGGGGGACACCCTACATATACACGTATGTGTGTATGTATGCATGCATGTATTTACGCATGTACACACACACCACATGAGTGGATAATGCCTCCTGGGGACAAGTCCCTCATGCCAGCCTGGAATACTTTCCTGGTGAGATCTGGGGGCGAGCCCTCGGGAGGCCCCGCAGCACATGTGGGAGGAAGTGGCTGTGATCCGCTTCCTCACCCCTCCCCGGAATCTCCAGTGATGTCTTCCCTGTGGCTAGCTGATGGCCTCTGGGAGCATATTACTGCATAATGGTTTCCTGATGTCCTTTCCTATAACTAGGGACCTCTGGTGCGCACTGTGGAAGCGACCGAAAGCAGCAGCCAGATGTGCCAGCTGGGCAGGAGAAGAGCCAGGCCCACATCCGCCGGAGGGAGCGGGTCTCCCTTCTACGTTAAAGAAGCCAGTCTCTCTGGAGCTTCCCTCGAGCAGCAAAGCTAAGGTGACCAGACGTCCCGATTTTTAACTATCTGTCCCGCATCCCGGGGCGTTTTAAATGCCCCGGGATGCGGGACAAGTTGTTAAAAATCAGGACTGTCCCGCCAAAAGCGGGACGCCTGGTCACCTTAACAAAGCGCGGACAGAGAGGGCAGAAGTCCATGGATTTCTGCGGCCCCCCTCCCGCTCACTAAAGGGAATAGAGAAGCACGTCAAGGAAGCACTCTCTGGCTGTACACTTGGTTCTTCAAGGTCACAGCGGGAAGGCAGGCCTGTCTGAGCCTCCATCCGGGACCCATCTGCTTTGCATTAATCCTCACTTTGGAATCCCGGGCCATTGTCCTGACCAAGTTTTAATGTGGAAAGTCTATTTTTGTTTTGTAAGCTGTTGTGTTTAATGTGACGATGGAAAGAGCCGGCTCCATCGGTTACTTATTATAACAGGTATGCTTCTAGAACCATCTTTAATAGGATTTTCAAACATTATCTGAAGTGAGCGGTTAGTGACTAGATGTGTTAGGAAGTGCACCTCCTCACGCTCATCTACACGGAGATGAAAACACCTCGGTGTCTCATTTCTTTTTAAGTCCGTCTAAAAATAGCCACTATTATCTTCAAGAGGCACAGTAGTTCCATTAATTAAAATTTCCATGCTAACACTGAAAGGCACCTGACTTACAGCTACATCCTGCAGGGCAGAGAGTTCAGAAGATTTGAGCTTTTTTTTTTTTTTTTTTTTTTTAATGAGTCAGAGTCACGGAATTTAGAGATAATCTAAAAAAGCCCAGAGTGACCACAACGGCAGGAGCCTGTAAGTCACACACACCTTTGAATAAGACCTAGTCCGCTTTCACTGTCAGTCACAAACACTGAATTTAAGCTGGAGAATTCCTGTGACAAGCCCTTGGAATCTCCCCAAATAAATCCAAGTGAAGTATGTACTGGTGACACATGAGTTCACTGCTAGGTAACCTTTTTTTTTTTTTTCTTTTAAATTATCTTTATTGTTGAAAGTGTTACTGGATAATTTTTTTTTCTTTTTAAAAAATGTTATTGAATTTATTGGAGTGACACTGGTTAATAAAGTGATAGAGGTTTCCGGTGCACAATTCTTTAAAAAAAAATAAATCTATTTTATTGATTTTTTACAGAGGAAGGGAGAGAGATGGAGAATTAGCAACATTGATGGGAGAGAAACATCAATCAGCTGTCTCCTGCACACCTCCTACTGGGGATGTGCCCACAACCAAAGTACATGCCTTGACCGGAATCGAACCTGGGACCCTTGAGTCCGCACGCCAACACTCTGCCTGCTGAGCCAAACCAGCTAGGGCCCGGTGCCCAATTCTTTACGCCATCTGTATGTTGCATTGTGTGTTCACCACCCCGAGGTAAGCCTCCTTCCGTCAGCATCTGGGTAATTCTGAACACAGTCTGGCCCCACATCCTATGGAAGTACAGCTTCCTGCCCGGGAGGTCAGACTTGCAGTTTCTAAATAAAGGAAACAATATCCTAGACACTGAACTGCGGCCCGGGCTTCTGAGCCCGAATGGGCTCAAGATAAGAATATGGGAATGCACTTAGATTATTAGCACGGACAGCGTGTGAAGTGACTTCCCTGTTCGGCTTCCTGGGTCCTGACCAGGAATTGAACCATGACCTCCTGGTTCACAGGCCGATGCTCAATCACTGAGCCATGCCGACTGGGCAGTAACAAGATTGATTACTTTTTTTTTTTTTTGATTACTTTTTTATCGTGACCTCAGCCGCCGCAGGCTGTGTGACCCCTGCTGTCCCTTAAGGGACACAGTTCACGGCAGAGCTCTGGGCACATAATATAATGAAGCACCAAACCCTGTTCATTACCAAAAGTTTGGGGACAGCAAATGAGGAATATTTGACAGCTTTGGTTGCTCAAATCATGGTAAATCTTCTCTGCAGCAGCTGTCCTTTCAATGCTTTATTTCCTCATTACCATCAGAGGCCAAAGGCATGTTAGGCTGGAGGGGAAGGGGCTGAAATGGAGATTTTGTCCTGAAGTCCCTGCTCCGCTCCAGAGCAGATGGCCTGACGCGGGCCGGGACCCGCCGGCAGGGTGTGCGGCCGGCCCGAGGCGCAGCGAGAACCTGGCACTTGGCTCTGACCTGCCTCTCTTCCATCCACTGAGCAACCGACTCAGTATTGTGGAGAGCTGTGTTCTTCGGCCACCCTCTCTCTTTAGTTCTTTTTTCACCCAATTACAAAAAGGTACCGGGCTTTTTCAATCCCCACACCTTCGGGCCTCTGATAATCACTCATCACAGTGACAGCCTGGAGTTCCCAATTTGTGTGTGTGTTGTCTGCGAAAACATCGAAGGCGGGCACTATAGCATGGAACAAATCACTGG